CCCCTGCCCTGGACCCACTGGCCTGCAACATTGACCGCTTGATTTAATCCATCCTTTGTGATCACTTTTTTTTTGGCCAGGAATCCAATGGTCGCCCTCATGTCGACGATCACTCGAGCAATCGGAGGCCTGGCTCGCTGCTTGCTTGACATGGGCTTGCTCTTGTCTTGTTACGCCCCGTTGGGCGAATCGACTCCGCCGCCGCTAGGTCATTGCCCTGCTCTCTTTTCCTACTCTGCCCTGCAGGCGCGCGGTATACTGGCCTGGGAAAAGGGGGGTCGTGATGCTCATCCAGAAGCACAGTATAGAGAGCAGGAGAGTATTCGATGAGTATAAGAACCCTCGTCTGTGTGTCTCGCTCAATGTCAGTTGCTTTTTTGTATCTCACCCCCAAACTTCATCTGTCTATCTGTTTGTCTACGACACTACTTTGACCTGAACCAAATTTCACTATGCCTTCCGAGACATCAACTCGGGGACGAACCCGCGAACCCAAGCTTGTTCCTGCTACGCACTGGTACTGTCACAAATGTGACACCAAGAAACTACACCCTCTGTCGTATGCTTTGTACGGCAAATGCATGGACAAAGATTGTCAGCATGTAAAATGCCAATATTGCCCCTCCAGAGTGATCAAGAAGTGATGGGGCAACGCCCGACGACTTGTTCATTATGAACTATCCACGATGTAAGTGATTAGTTTTCTTCGACTCTAGAATGCCCGTGTACTGACTGACCATGTTAGTTCAGATGTGTTTTTCTGCGAAGCACAACCCTCTACCCACCTCAACTCAAGGATTTTTTGGTATCTGTCAGGATACTGGAGGACTTATCATCGACCACGAAATCAAGATCAGTCGTGATCCTGTCTTTTGAACTCCGACCATCACCATCACGGTCCCACGCCTCGTCACCTTGGAAACGGATGAAGACTGGTCCTTCTCAACGACGGACATCTAGCGCAGAGCAAGGAGGAAACATCATACACATACATCCTGGTGATGAAATGAGTGAGATCGTACTTGGACTCTTCTTGTTCCCCTACTACGCCATGTCAAGAAAAACTCAAGATGGCACGAGGACAAGAGAACAAGGTGGAAATAGGAGATCTTTAGCCATAATCTTCGCTGGTTGATCACGTATGTCATGGACAATCCAGGTGATACCACCTTAGGTATGGGGCGTCCAGTACTGGTACTGGCTGTCTACACTTTCGTTGTAATTTTCTACACAATACAGGATCAAATTGAGAGATTTTTATCGTATGACTGAGTGCATGTGCGATGGAATCGTGGTATATATACCTAGGTATACATTGCACATACCTACTCCACTTCAGAATTCTACGTCCGAGTCGACAACACAGTTCAAGAAGCGAAGTGTAGAGATTCTGTTTGACACAACTCGAGTCACCTTGTGGATAGAAAGAAGCCTGCCCCTCCCAGTATTTACTGTTTCTAATTTAACTGCTTCGTGTCGCAAGTTTCCGAAATTGAAAGAGAAAGATTTGCAGTGAGTATACCTAGATAGACTTCTTATCTTCGGAATCTACCTCCTGTTTTTTTTTGGGACAGAATGCTGCAAGTTACGTCTTCAAATGAAATCACTGGGACTCTCTTGGAATTTCAGAGAATAAAAAATTCTGGCCCTTTTATAGAGGCAAGTGCACCTAGTTTACGGAGTATATTTTCCCCCTTTCGTTTACCGTAATCCTAGACCATTTAGCGCCACAAGCAAGACATTTCATTAGCCTCGACATTTATTCTCTTGGAAAAGACAAAATGTAAAAAAGGTGTCAAAAGATGAAACTAGAGTCACTAGAGTTCCCTTTCCTGAAAAAAAATTCCTCCCACAAGTTACAAACTGAAGAGCCAAAGGTCACCACAAGTCCCTTCTCCCTGCGAGCAAAGAGAATCCAAAAGGACCAACAAAAGCTAACGAATTAGAGCCCCTTTTCACGAAGGATGAAGCCCCGGAACAACATGCGACATAGGGGGGCAAACTTCCTCCGTAAAGGACTCTCGGAACTTGGAATCAGGCGCACGAGGGTCTCCCTTCACCCCCGGAGAGGAATCTTCTTTTTCTGATGGCGGTGTGGTGACGCGCCCCCGAGACACTCTGAGCGGCTAAACACGAAACCTCCGCTGATCCTGGCCCCTTGCTCGGTCAGTCTAAGGAATTGAAAGGCCAAGGCACATGAGAGCGTACTACTGGGGACCCGGGGGGAGGGGGTAGGGGGATGGGGTTAGAACGCAAGATTATCATCCAGCACCCTCAGAAGCCATGTCCGGCCTTGCAGGCGTCAAAGAGGTGACAGACACACCAAAAAATTGTGGCATCTCATCTCCGTCAGCGTATTAGCCATATGTATCTCGTGTTGAGGATCTTGTTCATCACATCTTGCGAAAGACTTTCTAGCAATGAGTCTCCTCGAGAACAAATCATCTTGTTTTATTCTTCGGTCGAGGTTAAAAGACCAAGTTGACACATGCATTTCAGGCGCTTATGTCCTGTGGGTCAAAGAACAAAGAACCTTAGTCTGTAGAGCGGAGAGCAGGATGAACTTGTCCGTACGAGAGTACAAAACATCGTTCTCAAAGAAAAGAAAAAAGTCTGGATGTGTGATCGCTCGCCGAACCGTCTTTTTGTTTTTCTGGCGGAACCAAGGAAGGACTTGCAGTACAGATGAGCTCCATTTCAATTGCTTGCAGGGATGTTATGTGACATCTCGCGCAGGCAAAGGGGGGAGGTCGGTCAGTGTGTTTCCACATGAGCCGGTGATCATGCGAGACACGCACCGGGGGTGTATATGAAAGTTACGGGGTGATAATGATTGGTTTGCAAGAATTCCGTACCAATAGTAAGAAAAGGCCCCCTCCGGAGTCAACTCATGTTGTTGATCTTTGGTCTGGCCGGGGTCAGGGTTCATACCGAACGAACATTGAGTTTTTTTTTTGAGAGGTTTTAAGAAGATCTTCGACGAACATTGGGTGATGGAGAAATGTTACGGGGAACCTTCCTACGACGCAGTCTCATCTGTCATTGTGAGAGTCGACGCAGAGCCGCCTCCCCTCGGTGGGGTATCAACCCATCCTACATCCGCGATTCGATGCTCAGATTCCGTGGCGCTTGAAGGGCTCATGGCGGACGGCAGGCTTGATCTGTCGGTTGTTTGCCGAGCTGTCGCAAGACTTGCAATGTATCATTTGATTATCAGCGCGGCTATTGTTTTGTACTTCGATACTCAACATTTGTTTGGGTACCGGGTACTCCGTAAATGCATGACACTTTTGTGGGAATTGATCTTTGGAGACCTTCTGGTATCAGCCCTGATAGTATCGTCGAGTCATATCTGCAGGAAATGATGACCGGTGAGGTTGTCAAAAGATTGCAGGGAATGACATTCCGTAGTTTCTGCTGATCAAGTCCTACCGAGTACATGTATCAGTATTTTACGAGGCTCGCATCGTGATTGGACACTTTCCCCCTTGATTTCAACCCAACCTCTCCACCTTGTGAACAACAAAACACCCGGCCAGCTTGACATCACTCTCCGTGCAGTACTTTGAACAAGTATTCCCTTGCGCTTGTCGGTTCTGAGATGCTTTGAGATCAAAGTATGAGTATGCATTGCAATGATCGACCTCCCCAATTCGACGTCACTCCTGGACCTCCGGGTCAAAACAAAATTCGCCACCAAACAAATCGACATGCTCTTTTTTGTTTGTCTCCGACCCAGACCAACACATCGTCCTTTGCTCGCGTGTGGTTTTTTTCTGGTTCGTAAGTAAACCAAATCTCCCTAGTTCGAACGAGCTAGTCGAAGTCATGAGGCGTGGAATCACTTTCACAAAATCGGAACGCGTCCTTTTGTGTGTACGGAAGTTCGGGAATCTCCTGCCTTGTCCTAGTCATTCACCCACCGAACAAGCAGCCAATGGATTGGGAAGTTTCTTGGTGTGTCGTATCTCTCTCAACAACATACACACACACATCAGAGAGAGAGACCCGCATAACCGGTGAGTAAGAAACGAAGAGGCTGGGTCTCAGCAACAGTTCGAAATGTCCCTCCCTTGCGAGGCTCTTTTTGAATGGTTCTCCCGTCCTTGCGGAAACCTTATTTCGAGGATCGAGACAAACCAAATGCCACTTTACGACACTCAAAAGGCAGAACGCACTACTGCAACCTTGTGGGCACTTATACGAGCAACCGTAGGTCCTGCAGGGGACCGCCTGTCGTCACAGGCGCCGACCCGATGGGTCCCCCCCCTTTATTCCCATTGTCCCTACCTTGACTTTTTTGACCGGTCATCAGATGTCTTTACGAGGTGTATGAATGCCTGGCTTGGTCGTGGCTGTGCCCATCACACACCGACTTTTGAATGTTTGTCTGGACACAATCGCCCTTCAGGGTCATCTCGAGGCAAAGCGACAAGCACGGGGCAAAAGGAGCAAATGAAGGGCCACTGCCATGACGGGGCTGATCCAAGTTCCTATAGGCCTTGTGTCCTGCAAGAAGCCTTGCAACACTTGCCTTTTCTTTTTTTCTTTCTTGGATCTTTGAGACCTTTCGTTGCCGATGAGCCCCTTTTGGGGCGAGACAGTAAGCAAATTGCTTTCTCAAGATCCAGGGGCTGGCACTTTGCCAGGTTGACACCTTCTGCTCAGCGAGGCTGACCCTGGCCAGCGTGAAGGATTCGGCACGTCCGACGACAGTATCGTGGACGTTGCATCCAAAAGGACAAGACCTATGACGCCCACCGTGTCGGCCAGGCTCTCTCGGGGCTGAGCTGAACTGAACGGGTGCGTCTGCCCTCTTTTGTTCCTCTTCGCGCCCGGGATAAACGGGGGAAAAGGAAGCGGTGAAAGAACGAGGCAGAGGTCATGTTCCTCCCTCCTGTGATCTCTCATCTGCGCCCTGGGCTCCTTACGTGAGGTACTGCTATACCCGCGTGAGCTGGTCTGTCGGTGACGGGGTTGTACTCTTCTACCTGAGCAGGATCATCAAGAAGCCCATCATTGAAATATTGGAATGCTCCATACTCGTCCTAGCATACTCTGCATGGTAGATGATTCGCTCCGTAGTATCTGCACATACATATACTGTCTATGAGGAGTGACTCCCAACTATATGATCCATCTACTGCCCCGAATCTCGACTTCAACCTTGACCTCGGACATCAAACTCACAAAGTGAGAGGGATGTTGGCAGATGATCGAGCCCATCACCTCCTCTTCTTCGCTCCAGCCTTGGTCTCATTCCCACTGGCACTAGCCACAGGGGCAGAGGGTTTCAACTCCTTTGTATCTTGTCCTTCAAGTCCCTTAGGCTTCTCCCCGGCAGCACTCTCATCCTCCTCATCTTCACCACCCTGGCCAAACTCGTTGACACGAGTATAGTCGACCTTGTATTTGTACTTCTGGTACAGCCAGACGAAGAAAATGACATCGTCACGGAGTGTAGCCAGACGATGTAAGAACGGCATGCGAATCGTAAACGCAAACAAGTCATCAATAAACGTATTCAAGAACTTGTACGTCAACGCTTTGCTGGGCATGTGTGCCACGGACTTGAGGCGGTAGTTGATATATAGACTCGGGACCATCATGAGGAAGCCGTAAGCGTACACGGACCCGACCAGAGTTTCAATTACAAAGCTGTACCACGACTTGTGCGTCTCGTAAATGAGCGAGTAGACTGCATACGCGAGCAAGAGGGGCACTGCAATGATGTACAGATACCGGAAGGCGATCTGGTCATATTCTTGCGTCTTCTTCTCAGTCTCGGAGAGCTTGTGTTTGTCCTCGAACACGACAACGTAGGGGAGAAATTTGAACGATGAGTCCGGCCCCGGTTCGCGCAGACGCACGTTGACCGTTTTAGTGATCTTCCAGGCTTCCAGAACGATACCGAACCCTTGACTTGCGAGGATCATCCAAGAGGTCGCCTCGGAGTTGTCGACAAGGTATAAGAAGATGACAGTCTGCATGAACACGTTGGCGAGGATGGTGCGTACCGAAGTGCCTACGTTGTCCTTCTTCGTGCGCCAGTGCGAGATGTCGCTCTTGAAAGCGAGACCTTCGAAAACCATGTGGAGAATACTGACGAAGAATGTCGTGCCGAGAAGATATGCGTTGGTGTCGAGCAATATCTCTTTGAACTTTTCGAATTCGCTGCCATCGCCACTGGCGGGCATGGGCCCGCCTGAAGCGGCTTGTTGCTGGTTTTGTTTCATGCCTTCATCGACACTGGCGAGGATACTGTACTTCCAGTTGGCCATGTTGTACAAGTCGATATTGAGCGGCATTTCCGTCACCGTATCGTTGAGTTCAGTCATATGGGATCGAAGTTGCCAGAATGTGTTGAGGAATACGACTGGATAGTACCAACCGTTCATGCCGGACTCATCTCGAGCACCGGTACGTTCCAGAACAATGTTCTTTCGCAGGGCCGGGTGCATCTGTCGCCAATTCTGCACGCCGGTATTGGGGATTACCGCCATGGTGAAGTTCGGGTGGTAGAAAGATCCAATCTGTGGGACTCGGGGCTCCTCGGGCTCGTCTTCGGGTTCATCAGTTTTTTCAAGCAAATTCTTCAGCTTGCGTGCCTTCTTCTTGGGTAGATAGTGGTTCAGAGGTTTGCTGAACGTGTACGCTTTGGCAGGGTCAAAGGTAGACGCGGTAGGATCTAGCTCATTGCCAGTCAGAGCGACGAAGAAGTGTGCCCATAGTGTTCCGTTGTGTTGCACTTCTTTAGGTATAACAATGTTGGCATGAATTTCCCTATTCTCTTCGTAGTTTCCAATCTGGAAATTCTTCTCGTCCACCACAAGGATGTCTTTCGGTTGCTTCGATAGGGGAAATATGGCAGTGTTTGGCGAAACATAGACTTGGATGTCGACACCTCCGCCGTCTGGCCAGATTGGTGCAATGTTGTAGGGGATCGCGGAGTAGTTTGTCAATGCCGTCGCATCAGCTCGGTCCTCGAAGTTGACATTTGCTTTTGGGGCTGAACTACCGGCCGGGGTAGTTTTTGAGCCAAAGAACTGGTTGACCGCGAATTGCGTGATCATAAAAATGGCCAGTCCTTGGAGGAGTGATTTGAACATGGACTATATCTTCATGGTTAATGAACATCGAACAGGCAAAGCGATTATCGACACTTACCCCTCCAGTTTCTTCCTGCCTGGCGGCAGTACCGCCAGTGCTGGCGCCTCTTGACTCTGGCATTGCAATTTGTCAGAGTCTCACCCAGATGTGCGGAAGAGGGTGAAAGCGTAGCATCGACCAGGTGGCAGTTGTACAGAGTAGAATCGAGTGGGCTGGAGGCACTACGGCTCGACTGGGACTGGACCACGGCGCCGGAAAATATTTGTTCCATCATCGAGGGCTTGGCAACATCGAGGTCCCTTCAAGCTCTTCCCTATCCATCCAGTGGGCGAGCGGGACTTGATCACGACACAATCAATTGCTTCTTCTCCTTTCGCTATATCATTTCACTGAGACGGTCCGTCAAACTATGGGCCTTTGTAGGTAGGCGATGATCTGTCGACAGTGCAATGGCCAATGGAGCAGTGGCGCCTATACCGACGCCGCAATTTCCCACGCATAATGCTCCCCGAGTCTGGCTACTAACCTCCGGAGACTCGCCCATTGCCATTTCCGTTGCGCGCCAAGTGCTTGACCATGGCGACTACGTGGTCTCAGGCATCATACAAGCCGACTTTGAGGATGAAAGTGTACGAAGTGAGGAATTTAAAAACTTCCTCTCCGAAGTGGTACGAACAAATGGGTGGAAAGATCGATTAAAAATTGTACCCTTGGACATTCGGTATGTAGACCCATCATTATGAGTACTGCTTCTGTAAGGTTGGTCTTTTTATTTCATATCATTCATACTGACCTTGTCCAAGACATGTTGGGCAATGTCAAGCAGCCATCGCAGAAGCAGTCCACGGTTTCAAAAAGATAGACATTCTGTTCTGCTGCACCAGCGAAGCCATCATTGGAACAGTGGAGGAGCTCTCGGCAAATCCGCGAACATTGACTATGGTTCGAGACCAATTCGAGAAGAACTTTTTTGGGCCGATGAATATAATTAAAGCTGTGATCCCTCACATGCGATCAATGATGAATGGACACATCATCGTGCTTGGTGGCATCACAGGTCATCTTGGAACACCTGGTTTGAGCATGTATTGCGCTTCGGGCTGGGCGCTGGAAGGCTTCTGCGATAGTATCGCTTACGAGATCGCTCCTTTCAACATTAAGCTGACTATCCTCCAAGCCAGCGTAGAGATAGGAATTCTGACCAACAAAATCACCTCAGCACCTCCGATGAAAGAATACTCGAAAGAATTTGGACACACTGCACCCATGTTCCGAGGAATCCTCGATGGTTTGCTGAATCGTCTGCCAGGGATTCGATCTCAGTATCCTCCACCGCCGGAGAGCGAGATTCAGTCGCCTTCCTCGGAGGCGGAGAGACAAAGTGGGCCCTATCTCCTCAATCAGAATGGAGTGGTTAGTCTGTATCCGCCTCTCAGCTATGCCCACACGGAGAAACTCGTAGCCGAGACTGTGCATGCATTGACGGCTATTGGTGGCCATGAGAATCCTCCTGCAAGGCACATTGTGGGCGTTGAGGGCGTGGCCAGCGTCAAGGAAAAACTCAAGACGGTCAGTGAGGAGCTGGAAGAATTTGTCGAGACGAGCGCGTCAGCCGACATGGTGAAACCCGGATCAGGGTATGGCCGTGCGTCAAGCGTTGCTGAAGTAGATTTCAAAGATTTGGAGGATGTCTTTGAGACGTCTTTAGGCCCGCGTTAAGCTGGTATGCTTGGCTAGTTAGAAAGCAAACACTTGGTCTGAATCTCAGCGTTGGCTGTACTCGTATCGCCTCTCATCTTCGCGGCGCTTATGATCACGATCCTGGCGAGAATGACCCGGAGATCTGCTTCTTGTTCTCCTGCGTCGTTCGCGGGTCCGATGCCTTTCAGACGAGGCTGACCTGGATCGTCTATGCCTGTGACGACCATGTCTGCGACTGTTGTGCCGTTGATCTTCGTTCCCATCCCGCCGTCGACGTTCATCGCGCCTGTGTCGCTCTCTACTGCGACTGCGGTGCTTTCGATCACTGTGGCGTCGTTTGTATTCCTTAAGTGCATACTGTAATTCCTTGTCTTGTTCTCCTCCTGTGCCTTCGAGGAGTTCAGTAGTGGCATCGCCTTCCCGCGGATTTGCAGCTCGACCGTAGCCAACGCCCCTTGTCCCTGTAGGCTCATCATCTCCTGCGGCCTCCTTCAAAACCTTCCCAATCTCGCGTTGGGTGCCTAATTCTTCCATATTGGGGTTGTTTCGTGGTGCAACAGGCAGCCCCAGTGCTCTTGCAAGGGCGTCTTCCTCTGCTTCTTTGATTCGACGAATCTCTTCTTTTCGTTCTCTTGCAGCTTTAGTATCTGCATCCTCGCCTGCGTCTCCTTCGTTGTCTCCTTTTGCATACCAATTGAGATCTCGACCCTTCTGCCAACGCCCGACGGGGGCCATTAGCGAGTGGCCTAGATAATTTTCTCGGCGGGAGGACGTCTGAACATCGGACCACTTGAAGTCTCCAGTTCCGCCTCGAGAGCCTTCCTTCCTGACCGTAGCTAGGAGGTCCATGGTTGAAGATTAGGTCGAGGCGAGGCGCGGCACCAATTCGAGGTGGGAGACGTGATTGAGGACCTTCGTGTCGTGTAACACTGTCTTCGCTCGCAATGGTGGACTGAAAGAGAGAGTAGACTAGATTGGCAGTCTGTGCCCGCACCCTGCCACTTGCTCAAGAATAGTAAGAAAATGTATCATGCACCATGCATGATCTGATCGAAGGGTGGATGGGCGATTCGTGGCGTGCAGGAAGGGAATAATCGGTCGTTGGTGGAAGAGAAATGGCGTTCCCTGCAAGCTGCTTCTTGTGTTGCCAACCACAGCCAAAAAGTGCAGGTTTCGGCGATCGAACGGATGCAGGATGGAGGATGGAGGATGGTTACAAGGTATGCTCGCTCTTTACAGGATGTATGTGTGAGGTGAAGTTGTTCTAGTCTACTTCTCAGGTGTGTCAAGCAATTAATTGAACTATGGATGAAGTAATATATGTAGCGAGTATCCAATATTTCCTCTCCAGTATTCGGCATCATCCGTTTCTCGTCGTCAAACTCATCCTCCCCTGTCCTCTGGCCTGCATCATTCTTCGTCCTCACTTCACCTGCGGCAGGTAACTTGCGACACGTCGTGCGCCATTCATGTTTCTTTTTGACGACCTGCAGCTTGCATCTGTCACTCTTCGGCTGTCATCGACTCGTCCTGTCTATCTTTGACCAACTTCCTCTCTTGACCCTCGTCGATTCTGCCTTGCAATAAGCCCGGCTCGCCTGCGAACACCAGGGCTTAACTACAAGACTGTGCTCATGACCTTCCCTATGCACCTCGAATCCGAACAACCCCCAGACGAACTCAAACCTCTATAAATTGCTTTTCGCCTGTTCTTGAACTCTGCATCCTGACGAATAGGTCGACGACGGCGCTTGTGCCCTGAAATAAGACAAAAATCTCAACGACTCACCAACCCCTAGTACACCCGCACTGTCTATGCTTCCTCGACCAGCGGATTGCTTAAGAGCTGTGAGGAATGGAGCATGATCTAAGGTCCTTCCAGTCAGTCAACATCGGTTTGAGTTGTCTCGAAACCGGCAGCTCGAGGTTTACAAGAGATGGGATATATCATCCACCGCCTCTGGCGTTCTGGAGGAACAATCTGACAGCCCTCTCGCAGCGATACAATCTTTATTTTGTTGCCCATCGAGATGCCATTGCGGTCTACAGACCCGACTTTCCTTTCCAAAGACTGCACAGGCGGCCTTCACTCGTGATTCCGCCTATGCTTGCAAACCCTTCGGCGAAAGGCTACATTGATTCTCATTACGCGCACAACATAAACCACATCCTAGTTGATGACTTGGGCTCTGAAGAAATTGTGCTTGTATCGACGGACTCTGGAAACCTGACTGCCTATTTCACCAAGGCCATTGACGATGCGATTCGCAAGGATCCCTACCGGTTCAGTACAAACGCTCGAAGTGACTACGTAGGAGTGCGTGCATTCTTTGCACAGTGGGTGTATGAATCAGCATGGGGACTCTCCATCCATTCCAAAGCCCGTATGATTGCTGTTTCAGCTAACACGCCTAACAATATTCCCAGCGATGATCCTTGCTCGAAGATCACAGTTTTTGCTTTTGCCTTGACAGAGAATAATGAAAGTGAAGATACGGTCCTCCAAATCGACGATGACGAAAACATTGGATTGGACGTTTCTGAACTTGCAAAGCAACAAGATTGGGAGGAATGGGATTGCAGAGGGCCAGACTCTAGTCTTCCGCCCCGCGACCGAAACTACAAGATCACTCTCGGTGGTCTCGAGGGTCACAACGACAATATTCCCAGCATCTCGTTTGTCAATACTGATGATGATCCCGATGGTCGATGGATCTTGAGTACTGATATCCGTGGTGAAATGAAGATGTGGGAGATCTGGCAAGGACTTTGTCTCAAGACATGGAATTTCGCCGAAAAGAGAATGCGCGGTGGGTTTCAAAGTAGACGAGAAGGAGGCTGGATCGTTGCAGCCTTGGACTCTCGAGCTTTCCGCTCTGCCCGGACCATGGAACAATTTTGTGGTCATACAAAGGCTCCTCAATACTACGGTCACATGGGTGAGAGCTATGATTTGACCAACATCGTACGCCTTCGCACGCCTGGGTTTAGTCTTGCACATCCCCATGTTCAAGGGTTTTCACCCACTGATGCGCCTGTAGAAGAGGAAGAAGTACAAGGACAAACCTATGATGGCTGGTCCGATCTAGATGGGTCCGACGACGAGCAAGGCGTTTCGAATTCTGATCGCATAGCCGAGAACGGATCGGCCGAACAGCCTCCTGCGCCACTTTTCATGCCCATCTCATCTCGGATTGCGGGAGAAATGGAGGCGATCGAGAGTGGGATCGACTATAATCTCGGAGAGGATGTGATTTCTAGCGACGAGGAGGGCTCAGAAGAGCCATTGGACCACGACGCTGATTCTCGGATGTCGCTTTTGTTTGATCATGAACATTCTGATGTTGATGTAGAGGATGACGAAATGCAGTATGGCTCGAGCACCGAAGACCAAGAAGAGCAGTCTTATTCCAGCAGCCGTCGCAGCACGACGTCTCTCTCCAGCCTTGCGCAACGAAACAGCGAAGAATTAGAGCAACGACTACTTGGGGATGCAAATACCAACTCTCTGTCGTTCACACAGGACCGTCGTCTCGAAGGAAGTACCAGTAAAGAAGCTACCTTTCAGCAGCCTCGTGGCACTGCAGCACGCAAAGATATCCCGAAGATTCCAACGCTGCATTGTACTGCCTCGCATCTCAGACTTCTCATGGCACCGCAAGCGTCCTCAGCCCATGTATTTTGTGCCAATATCTTGAAGCAAGCATTGCCTGAATACATCGAGATGACGAATTACGTACATCTTGACAGGATCAACATGATTCAGCAGATTCCTGAGTTGGGCATTGTCATTGTGGCCACGCAAATTGGTCGTTGTGCCATATGTTCGACCGTTAGAAACGAAAAGACTGGCACGCTGGGTCTGCGTGTCGACTGGGTCTTGCCAACGAGCAAACAGGAGGCCAGACACCTCCGCCCTCCTATGCCACTGCTAGGCATTGCCGTCTCCCCTATCCAAGGACGATTCCGTGCTGGGGAGAGGAAAAGTAAGTCGGATGTCGAAACTTCAATTGAATGGGGCAAAGATGGTGTGGTCGATGGCGTTACAACAACATTCGATCATAGGAGTGCGGTAGTGGGGGAGGAGGAGCTTGAAGACGCCACGAACTCTACGAACTCTGGCAAGCAGAGCCCGCATGGACAAAGGTTCGAGTGCCCTACGGTACCTGAATCATCATCGTCGAATCACACGCCGAGAAAAGCTGCGTGGACAAGGCCCGAAAGTATCGAGCCGTGGATGTCCATGGACAACAGTCGCAGATACAGGCTGATGCTGACCTACCTGGATATGTCGGTTCTGACATACGAGATCTCCAGGGGAGTAGAGCGTGAAGATATTATTCAACGTGAAACATCCAGCCTCGAGGATGTTGACTGAATGCTGTCCAGATTTATGAGAATACGATGTAATTGTACGATCAGAATGAACCTTCAATTTATTATCGCGGGATGTTGCACAGACTATATGCGACCTCCCAGCTCTATCGATATTGGAGACGCGAAATGGGTGCAGATAAATGATAAGCGACGTCAGATCGAACCCGGATCTAGGTATTTCTTTCACTGTTATCTGGTTGAAGCATGGACATGTTCTCAGGTCGCGTTCAGGGGAAGTAGACCTTTATTTCAGTTGACAGCTGTCACTGTGCTGCGTGGCGCGCCATCCCTAGGGCCGCGGGAGACATGCACAAATTTCCACATATCTATCGAATTACTTGGTACTGAAAAGGGATTACCTTGTTCTCTGTGGGAGGATTGATATGTTCATTATGTAGGCGACGATGCCTCGGAAGCTTAGCAGATCGAGCAACTTGCGCCAAACAGTCATGTTGGAGTGAAACTGCAAAGACTAGAGAAGTCGGGCACTTGAACGACACGTGATTTGATGGACCAACGGCCCTGCCAAGCACCGATCCTATTGGTCAAGCGCCAACGGAGCATCTACAAGACCGCGACAGCAGCAACAGCCTCCTTGCTTTGATTTGGTGACACATTGACAGGAGCATATTCCCCTTTGTACCTTCGATGCCCTCCTAGAGTCAGCATTTCACCACGAGTACACAAGAACTGTAGGGGTCTGATACTATGAGCGTGCCCCTTGCCTTCAAGATGGCGAAAGTCCCAAGATCCCTCAGGCTCTCGGTATCGCGAGAGCCGTGTCATCAGCGAGGAGATGGCTTAGCATTCCAGGGGCTGGTACACGGACTCTTCTCTCAGCCGCCACTTGCACTTCAAGGGAGAGGAGGTGGAAACGGCCATAATGTTCATGACAGCACGACATCTGTTTGACGTCTCCCAGACCAGGCTGTACTTCAGCACAGCAAATGTCTTTAAGATGGGAAACAAGACGCGTTTTCGTCCTTACGATCGCAAAGCGTCTTCCACCATCCGCTTCAAAATGTTTACTGTCTTCCGGCCAGACATGAAGACTCCCAACAGTCCTTCGTTAGGAAGCCAGCGGTTAGGCAACCGTCGCCGTATCCTGCGAACCCTGCTTGCAGCAATTCTTATCGTTACTTTTATCCGGACATGGACTTATACATCTCGACCGAGGGTATGTAGTGGCTACCGTCACACAATCTACTTATTGACTTCAGCAAGGTACCACCTCCCACATATGCGATAGACGAAGAAGCCAGCGAGGTAGCCGAGCTTGATTATAGCAACTTCGAACCCCTGCCTTTGACAGGCATGCTCAATGATGGCAGACCCGGTAAACGCACCTGCGACGAACTTAGGTATGACGGACGGCTTCGAGTTCAAGAAAGCCTTTATCTCGAGGATGACCTGGTAGACGTCGCCAGGTCCCTTGCCGATCATCCTATAATCAACTATCCCTCCGAGTATGACGATGTCCCATTTGAAGAGACTGTTTCGAAATGTTGGGCAAGATTGGCTGGATCGAGCGTTTGGCTGGAGAAATACCAAGTCTTTCTTGCAGTCACGCGAGTCATCTTCTTCGACAAAGGGAACCGTGCCTGGCCAATTATCAGCTTCCTTCGGGGTCAATTGTACGATGAGAGCTGGAACGAATTGAAAAACCATACCATCCAATGGCATGGTGATGAGATCGTTTTCCCCACAGTGTTTACCATTCCGGCACCTTATAATGTGGGCGGGGGGTTCTATGGTCCTGAAGATCCCAGGATAATTATTGAACAAGACGTGGAGGACGCTGAGCCTGTTGTCGTTTTCAACATGATCCACGATCTGAGGACCGTTGCGCGAGCCATGCACATTTTCCGACCATTTTCCAATGTGACCACAATCTTGACCATAACAGGAGAAGGAGAGAGACCCTCATCGGAGAAAAATTGGGCACCATTCTTCCACGACGACCGCGCGAACGCAACCAACGGCCCGAAAAAGTGGCCCAGTCACCACATTCACTTTGTGCATGGCTTCAACCCTCTCAAAGTGCTCAAGTGTCATGCACTCAATGGTTGGTGTGATATTGTGTACGAGCAAAAGGTCTCCGAGGACTTGATATCACCCCACGATGATCCTCACGGTCGTATGAGCGGCGGCACAAACCTGGTCCCAATTCCAATCGCTTCGAGCCCGGGTGTGCATGCGTATGTCGGCTTTCCGAGATCTCATATCGACTTTGGATGCAAGGACGACGCTATGTACAGACCTGAAATGATGATCATGACTGCACATGGTCAGCAGTTCCATATCAACTACATGTCCGAGCCGATAGATTTCGGAGCAGCTGCCTTGACACCGGATGCCGTCACTGATCCCTGTGGCGAAGGCCGTATTCTGATTGCCAACAGTGTGGCACGATGGGATCGGTCCTCCGGTCACGACCTGATGACACTTTCATTCTCGGTTGCTGATGTAACCGTGCAAATTCTTCAGCTAGAGGGTGTCTCAAGGTTCATCGAACAACTACCGTTCCTCCGTTCGGCACTTCAGCACGACATGTCTCAGGATGGAAGTGTCATCTGGAACCTCCGCTGGTCAGCTGTCAGCCAGGACGTATCTGCTTGTTCGATCGAGGCGGCACGAAATTATTCCATAGCCGTCTCCGAGCCACTCAATGGCAAATCGAAGGCCAAATTGAGGGAAGAAGGGGAATTGGACGACGAGGACAAAGATGACGTTCTGGATAAAACCAAGGAACGTGAAGATCAAAAGGATAACAAGGACCAAGACTTGAAAGGCAAGAAAGAGGAAGAGCTTACAGATGCTTTATTTGATGACGATGCGCTATTCGAGACTGAGGAGGAAAAAGCTTTCCAAAAAGACATCACCTACCTGGATGATCCATTCGGACACGAGGATAAGATCACATGAAAGACTCATCTCGCGGACACGATATCAGAGTCTTCTACATGGATTCCCTAGACGTTCAGAACACCCTTAGGTCCGATTCAAAACGAAGCGGCCGCATACTATACTTGATCCTTGGGATCTTCTCACAAACTGATACTTATCAACCTTCGCCTAAGGTTGTACGGCATTTGCAATCAGACTATTTCAACAGACTCGAGTGCGACCGACTCCAACAGCAGCAGCGGACCTTTCAGCACATTCTGCTCTTTCAGGTATTATTCCGTCACGGGTGCTCCTCGGCCAACTGCAAACGACATTCCCCCCACCCGCGACCGACACGGGCCTTCTAGCTTGGTGGTGAGTTGCGGGGATTCACGCAGATGCCGTACGTACTGGTCAATATCGCAATACTCGGCCACGTTCCATTCCGGTCTATATTTTACATCGCCCCGATTTTCATGTAGGATATATCCAGAAACCACCCAGGTGGAGGACACGACTGAGCTGTCTGGAACAGCTTCCAATAGTTTCGGCCTATTGCATGCAATGATTTGGTACTCTAGCAGCAACGGAGGCCGATGCCTTGTATGGCTTGAACATCGACATGCTATTGACTCGGATAGTTCTCTAACAGCGACTGGACCGCTGTCTTCTATTCAGTTCGCAATACATCAGGAGTCAACTTCCTCAAGAAGTCCGTGTTGTTGTATTAGTCATCTGCAGTACGCTTCACTTTTTGCATTGCAGCGATGGATTGACATAGGATTTTGTAACTAAATCAATCAGTGCAATGCTACTCCCATGCATACTATATGTACCTTCATTGTTTCCGACACATGTCCGCTAAATCCGATGTAACTGCGCTTAATAATGGTCCTCAGGGGCTGTTGAAGTTTGGAGCGAGATTGGCAGCTCTCGGTCGAACTACACAATTTGACGCGAATTCTTTTTCTTCGACGAGCGCGATGTGGACTTTTGTCATCAGGCTCATAAATATACAACCTTTGAATAGTAATGCGTGCTGGGGTCTTTAGGCATGCACTGCAAAGACTATGACACCCTCTTGAAGGCGGCCTTATTCAGCCCCGACCTCTTTTGCTGATTCAGCCGCAAGTCCAACCAACTCCTTTAAGTAGTTCGCCATGACACTCTGCCCTCTATAAGGCCGTGCACGCACTGCTGGGGGCATCACGCTCCACGCCCGGTTTACTTTGCAGCCTGTCAAAATGCAAAACTATGGCCTAATCAGACGCGGGGCTGGTACCGCCGTCCTCGAAGCCATCCGCGTTCCCAAGCTACAGGACGACTACATTTTAGTCAAGACCGTCACCATTGCACTCAACCCTACGGACTGGACTACTCTCGAGGCCGCTGGCGATGACGGCACGATCGTCGGATGTGACTATGCTGGAATAGTAGAGGAAGTCGGCAAGGCGGTAAAGAGGCCATTCAAGAAAGGAGATCGCATCGCCGGCTTCGCGCATGGGGGTAGGTCGAGAGGCCACCAGAGTGGTAGCTCCCTCCATTAGACACGAATGCTCAGTAGCTCACAGGAAATGATGCCAATCACGAACACGGTGCCTTTGCCAGGTACATCGCAGTGAAAGGGGACCTCCAATTTCATGTACCAGACAACGTCACTTTTGAAGCTGCATGCACTGTGGGTGTGGGTGTGATGACGACTGGGTATGGACTTTATCACGTCCTCAAGCTGTCTCTTCCCGACGCGGTCCCGGAACCCAGCAATGACCCAATTCTGGTCTATGGAGGAAGTACAGCGACGGGTACGCTGGCCATTCAATTCGCCAAGATGTAAGTGTGAAGTCCGTCGACAGGACCGCAATGGACAACTCATATGGTCTGCGTTAGGTCTGGCATGCAGATCATCACCACTTGTTCGCCCAAACACTTTGACCTCGTAAGGGGACGGGGAGCAGACCTCGTCTACGACTATGTGAGTGTCATTTTCCGCTGATCACCGGCCCCCCCCTTCGGAGGACGACACTTCTGACATCAACGACAGCACATGGACAACGTTGGCGAACAGATCAGACAAGCCACTGGGGGTAAATTGAGAAAGGTCTTCGACACCGTCAACGTGGAATCCTCTGCGGCTATCTGTGCAGCCGCCTTCGGGCCGGACGGAGGCTCCTATTGCAATCTGCTTGGCCTGGACTGCCCACGAGCAGATGTTACGTCAAGGTTCTTCCTCGGATACTCCATGTCAGGGGAGTCGTATATCTTCGAGGGGGACAAGTATGACGCTCATACGGAGGATTTCGAGTTCGCCTCCCGCTTTGTACCCTTGGCCAATCAATTGTGGGCCGAAGGGAAGTGGACGCCTCACCCTCAGAGGCTCGGGGCGGGGGGATTGCTGGGAGCGATCAGCGGTATGCAGGACATGAAGGCAGGAAGGTATAGTGGGGAGAAGCTGGTCTATCGCGTCGACGAGACGAGTTGGCCCAAGGAGCCTACCACCCCGAATAGGTAGTAAGACCTAAATCTGCAGTACGCTTGACGTGCGTATGGGAAGCTAAAGCGTCATAGCATCATGCAGCTCACACACATGAGGAAGTGCTATCAGTGCTAACGAGTTGTTCGTGACTACCTAACACGCTCTGTAAGAATGGCGGCTACGGCGTAATCGTACTGTAGTTCACGAACGGGTTGGAGGGCTAAAGAGCTCTGCCTGGTGGCCGATTCGACGATTCGACGTCGACAGCGTAATCAAACATCATTATTGAGCTGACGCGTGGTCGAATTGTCCACGAGTGTTGGGTCATGGCTAACGGCTACTACGAGTATGTGTCTTCTAACCTCTTCTCGGTCGTTCGTCCCCCAGTCCCACTGAAGTGAATTAAAGTCAACCCAAAACAAAGACGTGGCCATGAAATGAGCAAACAAGACACGCTAGACTTCGGGAGCCGGTTCACATGCCTTTGGACTCCAGCCGCACCAGCCAAGCGTGTGCCAGTAACCAAAAGAGACGCTTGTACCCTGTAGATCTTAGTTAGTGACCCAGGAGCGCCCAAGGAAGAGCAGGGGGCCCAAGAGGGTGTAATAGCGAAACGAATTCGATCGAGTGTTGCACTCGCTACAGCACCAAAGAGGAATACGGTACGTTGAAAATCAGCCGGCTATCCGTACTTGCATTGAGTTCCCGAACCTCACAAAGGTCTTGCAGAGCCGGATCATAAATCCTACAAAGGATGAATCTCGTATTGTCCTTCAGGCGCAGATCCTCTCGAGCCGAACCCCGCCGCTGGGAATACAATGATACTGGCCACGGATCCGTCGTGATTCAAACCTCGGTCAGAGCTCAAGGTGGACTAGAATACGAGCGTTGTGTGCCCAGGGGGGATGATCTATCTATCTCCACGGCCGAGTCGCCTTCAACCGTCAAACGAAGTTGCGAGGGTAAAGGAAGTACATCACCGCCGCGGCCAGTGGCCTAGTGCTGGTCTGGTCGCTGCTGCCAATCCTTCTTGGTGTTGAATGACGCCCGTAGGAAAAGGTAAGGCTGGCTGTGGGTTGGTTGTCAAATTGGCCCTCTGATGCTAAGCCGGCACATTCCACAAAATCTTTACGTGAAGGTCTGGACCATTCGCCGCGCAATTACGAGTCTATGGGCATCGATGCCACACACATAGTACACGGCTTACAGGGGTTCAAGGGATTGCCTCCCGGTGGACCTCACCCAGTCTATTGGCACCTAGTGTACGGTCTAAAGACTAGCCGAACGTTGGGTCGTTGATCCGCCCACCTACAAACGACGCCTGTGTGGGTGAAACGATACGCCAGGCGGTGATTGTCGAGACCAGATTGACCGGGGTCTGTCTCGTTCATCTACGATTTGCCATTACGGCAAACGGATACTTGACATCTTCAATCACCTTTTTCAGCCTTTTTTTCTTGGACGGTTATTTTCATCACTCGAGATCACTTAAAAGCTATTTTTTCTTATCTCACGAAGTATATACACACATACACCTGATCCTCCCGCATGGTCCCTATTCTCATGATCCGGAGAGGCGCGACCCGTTCATAGGCCCTGTATCACCTGGAGCTCTGAACCTTTCAACAACTCAATGGATGGCTGATCTCGGCGCCAACGACCCCCGGACCGGGTCTGCCCGTAACAATCACACGAGTCCGGGGCTCTCACGGATCGCACAGGGTTCGAATTCATCCGCGACGAGCAATCTGGTTGCGACACTCGTTCCTGTTCTCATCCTATTCGGTGTGTGTCTGATAATCTTCGTAATCGCCCGCAGAAAATTCCTTCGGGTGTATGCCCCGCGGAGTATCTTGAAAAGTCTCGAGCCACAGTACGTTTGCCCGCTCTTTCATCTACGACGGTTATACCGTGCAACAACAGCACTGCTAATGAATACCCGATAGTGAACGAACCGAGCCACTGTCGACAGGATGGTTCAAATGGATCCCGGAATTCTATCGTCTACCATCGAGGCATGTGCTGAACCATTCGTCCTTTGATGGCTATCTTCTCCTCCGCTTTCTGAAGGTATTGGGAGTGATATGTCTCGTTGGTATTGGCCTCCTATGGCCAATCCTGCTCCCGTTACATGCCACAGGAGGAGGAGGGAACGAAGGCTTGGATCTGTTGACCATGGGGAATATTAAAGATCCTCGGCGACTCTATGCCCATGCGGTTCTGGCATGGATCTATTTTGGTATGCCACATTGGACCGTCGGTTCTCACCCTACTACTTTAGATATATACTAACATCATCACAAGTCTTCATTTTGTATATGATTTCGAGAGAATGCATCTTCTACATCAATCTCCGACAAGCATATCTGCTCTCGCCATTCTACGCCGATCGGCTCTCATCGCGAACTGTTCTCTACATGAATGTACCGCGGCAGTACCTCGATGAAGAACGACTGAAATGGATTCTCGGAAAGTCCGTAAAGCGGATATGGATCCCTCAAAGCACCGCAGAGCTCGAAAGACTGGTCAAGGAGCGAGACCAAACTGCCATGCGACTCGAGAAGGCCGAATTTTCTCTCATCAAGATGGCAAATGCCGCCCGGACGAAAGTGCTCAAGAAAGGAAAGTCGGGCAAGGGGCAAGACCAGGATCAGGATCAGGGCCAAGACCAGCAACAACAACCTGCATCTCCTCAACTGAAACAGAGCTCCGATGAGATTCGCAAAGAGTCCGCGGCAGGGTCTGATGGATCCAAGACGATCCAAGTCTCCGAGAGTCCCAACTCTCCGAGCACCATCAACAGCTCCACCAGCACCCAAGGTGGCAAGTTCGAACTGATCCTACCGAACGTCAACGGCTCCGTGGCAGGGCAATGGTTATCGCATAGCTCTCGACCCCACCACCGACCTATCGCGAACTACGGTCGGCGCGTCGACACCATCAAATGGACGAGGAACCAGATCAAGAAACTCAACTCCAAAATCAACGTCGTCCGCCGTCACCAACTCTTTCGTCCTCAGAGCATGATGCCTTCGGTTTTTGTCGAGTTTGAGACGCACACCGACGCACAGAACGCCTACCAGACCCTCACGCACCACCGTCCCTTGCACATGTCTCATCGGCTGATCGGCGTGAGACCCTTCGAGATCATCTGGCCGTCGTTGCACATGGCATGGTGGGAAGCCATCGTGCGGAAATTCTCCATCCGCGCCGCCATCACGGCGATGATCATCTTCTGGGCCATTCCGTCGGCGGCCGTGGGGACAATTTCCAACATTACCTACTTGTCTACCAAAGTCCCCTTTTTGCACTGGATCAAAGATCTCCCGAGTGTGGTCAAAGGTTTGATCAGCGGTGTTTTACCTGCCGTGGCGCTGTCTTTGCTCATGAGTATCGTCCCGGGCATATTGAGATGTGAGTTTTCCAATTGTCTGCTGCTGTGAAGTGGGAAAAAAAGTCTCTGTTTGAGCAGGTGCGTAGAAATTAAGCTAACCATCATCGTTTAATAACAACAGACATGGCACGACTATCTGGAGTTCCGACTCTGACCAGAATCGAACTCTTCGTCCAGCACGCATACTTTGCATTCCAAGTCGTCCAAGTCTTTCTCATCACGACACTAACGTCGGCAGCATCGGCTGCCGTCACCAAGATCATCGAAGATCCCACGACGGCCAAATCACTCTTGTCCCAGAACTTGCCGAAGGCTTCGAATTTCTACCTGTCTTACTTTCTCATTCAGAGCTTGGCCATCGGTGCCATCGCTCTCGCTCAACCATATACCCTGTTCAAATTCAACATTCAGCAAAAGTTCCTGGCAAACCCACGAAAGATATATACTCGTTGGCACAGACTTCAAAGAGTCCATTGGGGTTCGGTGTTTCCCGTTTATACCAATCTGGGGGTCATTAGTAAGTTTTTTTACTCTTGCTTCCATTCCCACCAACTCTCTTTTTCGGAACAAATATACTTACCATTATGTGTGTTCTTTTAGCACTTAGTTACGCCCTCATCGCCCCTGTGGTTCTAGGTTTCGCCGCCGTCGGTGTTGGCTTTTTGTACGTCGTATACCGTTACAATCTGATGTTTGTGTACGACGCCGAAGTCGACACCAAAGGGCTCGTCTATCCTCGAGCCCTCCTCCAAATGATTTTGGGATTGTATTTCTCCGAAGTCTGCATGATCGGGCTCTTCTCGCTCCGAGGTGGTTTGGGGCCCTTGGTCTTGACGGCCATGTTACTCGTGATTACGGTTCTTGTTCATGTTTCGCTACTCGATGCCGTCCGTCCGTTCCTGAGCAGCCTCCCCCGAACCTTGACCGTCGAAGAAGACAAAGATACCCTCTTCCCTCCCGAGAGTGAATCATCGGCTCCACGCACCTACCAAGAACCGGCGTGGCTTCGAGACCTTGAGAAATATACCGACGAAGTAGACGAAGAGGATGATGGACCGGTCCACGAACCAGGGGCGACCAGGGGAGCCCTCCCAGTCGTTGAGGGAGCCACGGGAGCGGCCGACACTTTGAAGAGTGGCATCACGGACGTGGTGAAAAAGAAATTCAATAAGGACCATCCGGAGATTCGGACTCACTTGACCAGCACCGCTTCTTTCTTCAGACGTTGGATCAGACCTGAACTTGGCCAAAAGTCGAATTGGCTCATCAGGTGGCTCCATCCGGAAGTGTACTCGGATTATACCATCCTCAGAGGGTGGGTGCCGGAAGAACTCCCCGAACCGAAATACCCTCCTGAAGTTGAGGAAAATATATACTTGCCTCCATCGTACCTGGGCAAGCCTCCAACGCTTTGGATCCCCAAGGACCCAGCTGGCATCAGCAAGCAAGAAGTCGAACACACCAAAAAATTCATAAGTGTTACTGATGAATACGTGACCGTTGACGAAAATGGAGGTGTTAAGATCAACCTGGATGAACCTAGACTCGTCTTTGATATTGACAAGTTGAGGTATTAATTAGTGTCCCCCAGGGTCGGCGGATGTTGGCCAAAAACGAAGACTATTTTCGTCGGCTGATGCTGATTGATGTTGAATGAATGAACTCTTGTAACAAAACAAAGCAAAAAGAAATGCACATCATGATGGGGCCCTTGTTGTCCTTGGATGTCTGTTTCTTTTTTCCACCTACTTACCTTAACTTACCTTACCTACCTACCCTTTTCTTTACCAATTGGGCACTTGTACATATATACAGACACACACACATCTGGACACAGAACCATGAAGAATCAACGGATACAACATCAAGACGAAACAGGGACGTCTGAACCACCATTATTACAGGAGGAAGCTCGGGAGTCAGGAGAAAGAAATACTGACAATTACTGTCTAATGGAATGAATACTACCACAATCTTTTTCCGCTTTGCCTTTTGGTAACGACGTTGTCTGCTCGCTCCAGGATCCCAAGATGGTTTTCATATGTTATACCGAGTAGTATCAACAAACGTGCGTGGTCTTGATTTTCACGCACTGTTAACTGATTTTATCATAGCTGATAGTCTGAAACATCCCTGAAAATCAAATCACACTTTCCACTTTTTGGAATGGCAAGGAAATGATCCTTCATCAGCATACTGTCCTCTGTGTTGCCCGGTGCGATCTCGACTTTGAACCTGCGGACCACGGAAGCCGTGATCAGTTTCAACTCCATCATGGCCAGGTTCTTGCCTATACAAGCCCTCGTCCCGTGCGAAAAGGGCATGAACAGCGACGTCACCGAAGGTTCCTTGGTCTTCTTTTCCAGGTCCGTGTCCAACCACCTCGACGGTAGAAACATCTCGGGATCCGGAAACGCCACGGGGTCACGTTGCGTCGTATAACACTGCGCGGAGACCACGGTCCCCTCGGGGACGAAGGTACCGTTCAACACTTTTCCGCCAGGTGGGACGACTCGCTGTAAGCTCGCGGGGGCGGCTGGATGGAGGCGCAACGCCTCGTTGATGACGGCGTCGAGGATTGGAAGGTCGGAGAGGGAAGTGTAATTGGGAAGTTGGCCGTCCAAGGAGTCATGCGGAATTCGGGCGAGTTCGGTTCGTAGGCGCGTCTGCCACGACGGGTTCCGGGCGAGTTCGTAAAAGAGGTACGTCAGTGTCGTGCTCGTGGTGTCTGTAAAGACAGAACAATTCAACTGTTAGACGGAATTTTACTTTAAAAACGAGGATCGTATCCTCAACACAAGGACCTTTGGGGGAAACAACCTACCTGTACCTGCAAATACCATATTTCCTACTTCAGCACACGTTTCTCGATCGGTCATCATCATCGTCGTTGAGTCGTTACTTTTGGTCGTCAGGATCTTGGTGAGGAGGTCTTTGCGGCCCGAGTTGCGACCGTGTTGTTCAATGTATTGATTGAAAGCGTATTCACCATACTTTGATTCCGACCCCCGGAAAAGGTCAGTCGGTACTCGTACCATGTATACACCGGACGTGTTTTATTCTTCTTTGTGGTTTGGGAGTGGGAAGAAGGGGAGAGATCGATTTCGGGAAAAGGGGTTACAACAAACCTCGTGAATCCGATGACGGGCTCCTAGGAAATGATCCACTGAAGGGATCCGCGTACGCAACAAGGCGAGGATCCAGTGTAACCCGGGCAAGTTGGCTTCCAAACCACTCAGAATGAACTGGTAGTCCATGTCTTTGAGGAACTGGGGAGGTTTAGGCGCATCCAGATCTAGACCGCCAAAACTCTGGCCCAGGAAGAGTTCACCTGTTTTGATCAGGAATCAGCAAGTCGGGTAAAAGTCAGGGCAGAGGGGCTGAGGAGAAGCTGGTTTTCTTTTGGCGGGTATACACAATAGAAAGCGCACGAGGTATGACGAACCGACAATGTCAAATGACACCAGCCTGAACAGCAACAGTGCGTCCAACGGTCTCCCCCGACCGCGTTCGATATGGGCAATCAACTTCCCAACCAGATCTTTTATCAGTGGCTCCGTGCCTAGGAGGCTGGCTTGTGAGAAAGCATGGCTGAGGAGTCTCCGGCGCTGAGAATGTTCCGTCTTGTCTCGCAGGGAGAAGATGCCGATCGGAGGAAGGCTAAAGGTCTCGTAGATTGGGGCCTTCATGTACGGCGTCTGTTGGCTGTAGATCTCATTGATGACCTCTGCGTTGGAGTAGGAGATCTCTCGAGGCCCGATACGCACCGTGGAACCATATATTTGGTGAAGCTTGTGAATGGCCGACGTGCGGTCACCCGCCATATCGACCATCGTGAGCCATTTCGAGGTAATCTTTGCGATGAACGGGCCAGGAATTTTGCGCAGCGGAGAAAATAGCACCTTGGAAAATATCTGCTTAGGTGTAAGAAGGGCCTCCAGGATTTGGGATTCATGCACCACGCTCTTCTTCAATGTACTCACCTGCCAGAAAAACACCGCTGCTAGCAATCCAGTGGCTACAATCACGAGCATCTTGAATGTCGGTCACTTTCTGTGGGCGAAAAGGAAGACCACCGTCAAATTGATCTATTTACAGGTTCTGGGTGGACCTGTGACCTCTCTCGACGGAGGAAGAAGAGTATATATATCTCTCGTACCACAACTTGGACCAGCCTAATCCATTCCTATTGTGGACATCGAGGGGTTGCACAGGTCCCCCCTCGCTGAGCTTTCCCGCGGTCATGCGACGAAATTGTCAATCGACTGTGTCCCTAGTGGCCGTTGCGCCACCAAGAAAAGCAATAACATCTTGATGCGCAGTAGAAAGGCGGTTCTGAGAGGCCGTGGTCAAAGACATCTCCCTAGACGAGCGGGAATGCGTCTCCAGATTTGTCCAAAAAATGCCACTTTGGGTCAAAGGCTGGACGCATAGTCAATCGAATGCTGGATCATTCGTCAGGGCAGCCGTCTAGCCGAAGCCACTCTGCTGGGTAAAGTGTGGAGTTCCGAGCCGATTTGATTTCGCAAAAGGTTTCGGTGGAGAGCCGAACAAGTATTTTGCCTCAATATCCGGCGAGCACTGACACTGGCAAGTGACTCTCGTGGGCAACGACGAGTACAAAAGTCCCGAAGATAAGTGGTCCAGGCGCTAAGATGGCGTTCTGCGAATTGATCCGGGGCTGGCCAATCGCTACCATTTGATGGGGTCCAACCGTCGATTCCAAGCTTTCTCAAGCCGGTTTGGGGGGCGACCCCGGAGTAGACGGCTACTCCTGGCATTCCCATCACAGCAGGTGACCCTCGATCGGTGATAAACCCACCGTAGGCGTAGGCATCCTTGGAGTGATCTTGTAGCCATTGTGGATAAAGCACTAGACGGTCGGTTTGGCTTGCGAGTGCCTTCTTACAGGCACCAACTACGTACCAGAAGATGGGAAACGGTCAAGTGCGAAGTCCCAGTCTCGAACTGGGGTTAGCCCAAGTATGCCCGTCCAAGCCTGAGGCGTGACAACCTAGTCGTTCAGGGAACAAGGGTAGATCAAGTGCCATTGGAAGCTAGAGCCACAACATGGCGACACTTCCGTCCGTTGGATGAAGGAGTCAAGCTCGTGAAATTACAGCGATGTGTTATGCTTATTTACCACGGTGAAAATCGGTGTCTTTGGAAATGCCGGGGATTCTAAACGTTGAAAGATGCCCCACCTTGTTAAGTGCGTTAGTCAAAGGTTACAGCTGATATAGGCCAGTAATATCGCCTTTAGCCCCAAAGTTTAGCGGGGAACCAAGCCAATTCGGTTTAATGCCTTGTTAAGTCGTTCTTCCCCAGATTCGACGGTCGTGCCCAGGTCCTTTTTCAAGTTCTGCCTTATCCTCTTCAGAACTGTGTCTGCAGTAAATCAAACGCCTGGTAAGCTAGTCACTGTTTTGAGCAGACTACGACCATGTTCAACCTCAGTCATGGATTCAAATCGAATTCCGACGAAGAAACGCAAAACCCTCGGCGAACACGCCAATGCCCGTATTGTCAGAGGGAATTTGCAAAGGCAGACCACTATCATCGACATATTCGTTCACACACCAAAGAGAAGCCTTTCCGCTGTGATATTTGCAAGAAATCCTATCCACGCCAGTAGGTACACTGCCTGATGAGTCGATCAAAGCCCCTAATATATCAGTGACACACTTCTACGCCATGCTAGAACTCACCAGAACACCACACGCCGTGAGTCAGTGGCCAGAAACAAGACCGAGCCAAGTATCAGTTCTGCGAGCACCCCTCCACCATCCTATATCCCCGCTCAATATACATTCCTCCCTCCGTGTGGACCTGGCTCTGGAATACCGGATCCGCACAGTCAGAGTCAGCACCGCAGAACGTTGAGTAAACAGCGCTCCAAGTATGACAACGCCGACAATGACATTCTATCGCTCCTGCCAGATACCAAGCCCCAGAATAATCAGGGAGTTGTTAGAGATATTTCCTTTGAGCATTCTGCAGACAATCAGAACTTCACAGTCAACCGAGGTACTGCAACGTCACAAAGCCTGCCTTCAGTCTTGGGCACATACACCACTGATGGTGCATATCGCTCTCAGATTGCAGAGGTATACACCCATGACACCTCCTTTCAAGGAGTAGCTTTTTCAGGCGTACATGATGCACAGAATTCTGCCGACTGGCTCCTGGGCAGCGATTTTGACCTTGCTGCTTTTGGATTTCCTGAAGGTGACTTCGTACCAGAGCACGACCACGCATTCGAGTACCAAAACGACTTGGTAACAGCTTTGGAAACCCAACCAGATATCGAGACACGAACACCGCCACGTCTTCTAGATCTGAGAAGCATTTGGTACACTCAAATAAGGAGCGTCGACGCTGAATATGGGGCCGGTTCAGGTTCAGGCGCTATCACTCCGGTCCACGGAACTTCCACCAGCGACGCCAGCATTGACGAAATATATCGTGTGAATATGGCGGGGAGGCTTCGAGTACCTTCATCTGACGAACCTCTCCCCTCGATCGATTTTCTGGTAAGACATCAACTCACTTCGTTGGCCATTGCTAATCTAGGCTCAGAATCTGTGTATACATTTATTCTTTACGAGATTTAACGTCACCCTCCCAATTATTCATAGCCCGAGTTTTCGTCCGACAAGAGCCAACGCCCTCCTGGTGCTTTCAATCTGCAGCGGCGGAAGCCTCTCGCTAGGTTCAGCCATGGCCAACAAGGCCGGTGCCATGCTGTTTGAACGGGTGAACAAGGCTATCCTGGCTGCTACCTGGGATAGAAACCCTTCTCCCAGGCCTGAAAATGTCAGGAATGTCCTCAAGACCTCCATGATTGGACAAACATTTGCCCTTCTCTCAGGCAATCCTTCTCATTTGTTAACAGCAGCAGCCTTCCATGGATCCCTCATATCGGTGGCTCGACATAGCAAATTGTTCCAAGATACTCCTACAATTGAGCTTGGCGAAGATCTGACTCCCGAAGAGCTCAATGACACCTGGAGGAGATGGGCAAGAGACGAAGAATTGAAACGGATCGCACTGGTTCTCTTCATCCATGATGCCGAGATTTCAGCATTGTTTCACCACGATCCAATATTGCGACACAACGTTCGCTCTTTGCCCACCGCATCCTCGGCCGAGCTGTTTTCCGCTCCAACAGCTACCATATGGGCCACAAGATACAAAGCAGAGCAGCGGGATAGACTGAGGCAAGCTAACCAACTATCGACTGGTAGCTTCACTGAAAAAGAGGCCGATAGCGATGTCTCAAATGCCGATCTACAGACACCTCTTACTGCGTGGCCTGCTCAGGATCATATGCTCAACATATACACGAGACTATCTGGAATCAGTCCTTCCATCATCGAAGCTCGCCATATGGGGTGCCTAACTCGTCCGCACGCACAGAAGCTTGAGTCGGATCTTGTTTCATGGTACATCTCCGTGCCAGGTCCATTTCGAGAACTAGGAACCACCTCGATGCAACCCGAGGCTCCGTTCACCATGTTGCCACTATGGCACTATTCCTTCATTCAATTGACGGCGGATTTGGACACCTTGGAGCTTGCGATTGGACGAGAAGGAGCTACAATATCTGACTCAACAAGGTCTTATGCTTTGTCATGGGTGGCTTCTCCAGACAGTAAAAGATGCCTATTGCATGCGCTATTGTTGCAGAACCTCATGACTGCAGTGAACATGGGCTCCTTTTTCCCTATTCATACTGCTCGCATCTTGTTTTCTGCGGCAGTGTGCTGGTACTGTTACATGCTGTATTTGCCATACGTTGAGGCCGAGGAGCACGAGTGGACATTTTCGGTGTGCTCAGACCCTTCTCTCGAGTCCTACCCCGAGGTCAGATTACTACGAGAAGGCGACAACCCGACTTCGCCTACTTTCACTTTGACAATGGGGAGCTGCAATGATGCTATCTCCGATCTTGACCGAATTCTAAGTGCAAACCCTGCAGAAGTGAAGGCAGGTACCCTCTGCGTTCTAGAGGGCATCCTACGGAAACTAGGAACAGGTGGTATTGCAAGAGCCTTAGCAGACATTGTTCAGGTGTTTATTTCCGGTGAAATTGACAAGTCTAACGCTCAAGATGGTGGATATGTGAGAGGCCACCCATAGAAGGGCTCATGCCCAGACATACCATCAAGATTCCGACGAAGATTGGTGCAGAAGGTTCAGAACAGCCTACTGCACGACGTCGGTTGGTGAACCGGGGCCGAACATCAAACTTGACGGAAAGAACAGTGGAGAGACGAAATATACCCTTTCTCTATCTATAAATCTTCTCGAGATATATAATATCTATACCTAAATTTCATGACAAAGGAGTTATCACGTAATGTGAGAACTTATCGTTGATTGTGGAGTGGTCGAGTCGACGAGGCTGACACACTTATCCCGGACTATGGAGGTCAGAGCTCGCGGACAGCAACTCTCAGAACTCATCAGAGCCACATCTTGTCGCTTCCGCCGGGTCATTTTGGGGTCTTCATTAGCAGACATACCAAACAGCCGCATGTAGGTGGAACGACCAAACAACCTCGGCGCGATCCATCAACGAGTCTCGCAACACCGTCTTTGAAATTGTGATGCGGAGACTCACATCCACGATCCGTCTACACTACTAGTCTCTCTCCTCCTCCACGCCTCCCCCTCACTTCTTCTCTCGTACCTTGCGGATCCGAGGGGTTCGTGTACCAATGAACAAGACATCACATCGGGATTAGACCAGTCAGACATTACGAGGGACTTGGGCTCCGCCATGGATTTCACTGACGAAGCTCAGACCTCCGCTGAACCTGTTGTTTGGCTCCGTCCAGCCGATTGCGGATAGTCGCTGGTAGGACGAGTTACAAAAGCATCTCAGTTCCCCCGCTTCGTCTCTGTTCTTACAAGTAGCACCTTTGATCACGATCGCTGGGCAGAGGACAAATACCCAGAGATTGGAAGCATACAAGATTTCTTGCATCAAATCATAACTTCACTCCTTGACCCCAAGCAGACGAGCAGAACGAGGACTATAAGAAACGATACTCAACGAGAGTCAAGATGGCCAAGATTGCCTCCCAAGCCATACCGTCTTTAAAATCTCAGATAGATGCCCTGACCTCGGACGCCACAGGTGCTCCGGGTGTCGTATTCGCTGCTGTCAATAAACAGGGCGAGTCGATCTTCGAGCATGCATCTGGTAAGGTCGGGGTTGGCAAGAGTCAGCCCATGACCATGGACAATGTCTTTTGGATTGCGAGCTGCACGAAGATGATTACCGGCGTTGCTTGCATGCAGCTTGTTGAACAAGGCAAGTTGGCATTGGACGATGTTGCCTTGGTGGAGAGACTTGCACCGGTGAGTAATGCAACAACTCTAGGAGGCAATGATGAGCCAATTAGATCTCTTTCAGCAGTACTGACTGATACTGCATGTAAACAGGAACTCAAAGCCGTACAAGTCTGGCAAGACGGCAAACTGGTACCAAAGAAGAGAGGCATCACGTTGAGGATGCTCCTTTCTCACACAGGCAAGTTTGACCGTTGACGACGTCCCCTGGTGATGATTGAGACCACCACAAATCTCGACCTTGGAGCCTCTGACTTTTGGTCTAGCTGGGTTCGCCTATGCCTTCTTCGACGACCGTCTCAACGACTGGGCCGGCCCGTTGGGCATCGACGAATTCTCAGGGTCTTACCACGACTACCTCTCCCAGCCTCTCGTGAACCAACCTGGTGAGGTGTGGGAGTACGGCATCAACATCGACTGGGCCGGTCAACTCGTCGAACGGGTCAGCGGCCTGAAACTCAACGACTATTTCCAACAGCACATCTTCAAGCCCATGGGCCTCAAGAACATCAACATGTTCCCCACGGACTCGATGAAGGCGGATTTGGCCTACATGAACGCCCGCGCTCCCGACGGCACTCTGTCGCTCAACCCGGACGGCCACCTCAACAGGCGTCCCCTCTTCGCGACCACCAAGGAAGAGATCGACACCACCTTCCACGCCGGGGGTGCGGGTTGTTTCGCACGCCCGACCGATTACTGCCAGATCATTGCAATGTTGTTGAACGACGGTGTCCATCCAGGTACTGGATCTAGGATCCTCAAAAAGGAAACCATTGATACCATGTTTACGAATCAGGTATGCTTCTTGACTTTTGATATTGTTATACACCAACACTATGCTGTGTTCATTTTGCTGACCAGGGGGATTTTTCAAAACGATTAGATTCCAGAAATGCCAAACTTTGGTCGACAGGTAAGCAGGTGGAGATGAATACCATAACATATTACACCTTTCCCGGATGGTGACTGGCGTCTAAAACGAAGGCCGCATATTGACCCCTTTCTTCGGTTTTCATAGGGCGTCGCACCACCAAAGAAAATGTACTCCAACGCTCTTCCAGAACTCTACCCGGAACCTCACGACGTCCCGCAGGGATGGGGATTGACCTTTTTCCTTCACCTCAAGGATTCCGCTGTCCATAGTGAAGGTACAGGATGGTGGGCTGGTCGTAAGTTTTTGCCAGTGTTTGGAAACCGCGGTCTGGACTCTCGCTGACAGTACTCGCAACAGTTCCGAATCTATTCTGGTGGGCCGATCGCAAGAGAGTATGTCTTTTGGTTTTTTTCTTGTTTTTTACTCATCACTCCGACTAGGATTCACAGTCCTTGGGTCTTGATCCCTGTCTAGTTGTTTTCTTTCGCTGACGTATTCTTTACTTTCCTTACAGGGCATCGGCGGTATCATTGCAAGCCAGATCATTCCGTTCGGTAAGTCTAGCCCCTGCCACCTGACGAAACCGGGTTTGCTCGGAGTTGCGTACCTTGGAATGTGTGCTAATCACTATCTTTCCCTTCGGTCACAGGTGATCTCAAGATCCTCGGTCTCTGGGCACAAGTCGAAGCTGGAATTATTCAAAACCTTCAATGATTGGTCCGGTCCTCCAACTAGTTGCAGACGGAGAAGAGACACAAACTGGATTCCCTTTTGTCGTGGGCTCATCTACTGAGAAATCTGGACGAGCATGTGTCATATGCACTGTTTCCCGAGTAGCTGACAAGCTGTGCTTTGGTACACAGTAGTACGTACCTTGATGAAATATATATATTCAATAGTTCCCATGACTTCCATCACCGTGTAGCTTCATACAAAAGGGACAACCCTAGTTCAATATATTGTGTTGTTGCTTCACGAACGAGAGGCATACCGGGCCAGGAGTAATTGACAATACTTCAACATTGATAATACATTTATCCCGAGAGAACTTGGTAAGATCTTTATTGTTACATGGCATTCGACGCCATCTATATTTCAAGACATTTCACCTTTGGGATATAAGATCCATGTCAAAGTCCCATAAATCTGTACAAAGTCCCCGTTCCTTGGACCGGACATTCGATCGGGGACAATTTTCCAATAGTCAAATGGTTGCCATCTTCTTGCATAAGTGGGATGGAAGCCATTCAGGAATATAATGTCGGTGCCAGAGACTAGATTTCTGCTAGGTACCTAGTCTCTAGACGATGCATAACACGGTTCGAGAAGCTATACTTCTGTAGCTCTCGTCGCCGCTCTGATAATTGATCATTCTGGTTGTAATACCACAATGACACAACTTAATCCACAATCTTGCCGTAGAATGGAATGCCAAGTTGTTGGAGAAGAAGTCGAGCGTCCTTGTCACAAGTGGCGGTGGTGTGAATAGTGATGTATAATCCCTGTGAACAACCATTAATATCACCATTTGGAACTGGCATCAGAAATTCAAACATACCGGAATCATCTTTCCGGGATAAGCGTCATAGTTGACTTCTATCTCTGGAAATCCAGCAACGACTTCTGGGTTCAATCCAAACGAAAGATTTCCACTGTTGTCTCCAGTCGTGGCTCGTACACCATTCCAATCCTTGATCCGAGGCAGGACGACGTCGATCATTTTCCCGAGGAAATGGTACATGTCCTCTCCCTTCAAGTCCACCGTCAAACTACACGGCTTACCCTTGATGACGCCCCAGGTGGCTTCGTTTGTTCTGGAGCGGTGAACTTCGACCCGGTGGTTCGTGATGGCTTGCATTACCATGCCTGCCACGTGGAGGTGCGAGGATCCCCTTTTCAACGCTTCTTTGACGTACGCGTGCACCGTGATCCGTTCGACCATGGGGACGTTTCGGAACGTGACTGGTTTTCTCAGCAGACGCAGCACATCTCCACCGCGGGGACCTCTGAGGTGTCTGTTTGCAAAGTAAGGCGAGTCTCCTAACCACGGGCGCAGCCGAGGCCCTTTTTCGAGGGGACGGAAACCTGGAGGTGTGTGTTGGTAGCACATTGTCATGAAGTCGGGTGCGATTATGCTGTGGTATCCTTGTTCGAGTCGGGGAGTGGAAAAGGGCCCCGGGACGAATTCTCGACTGGCCGGATCGGAGGGAGGGAGAGGTTGGTGAGGGTGGAGAGGACCACGGTCATATTTGGGACTGCGGAACTGATATCTACAACGAAATGTTAACGCTGCTTCGCAGAGAACATTTCGAAAGGCTCGACCTTACCTGCTAGGTGGGAGTTGTCGTCTTCGGCCTTTCGCAACCTTGACAGGATCAAAATCTTGAACCTGGCCCGTGAGGTCCGCGGTCTGGGATAGTGAGGATAATTCTTCGAGCTCGGGGTCTACTGATGTTGTGGATGCTTGGGTTGCGACCGATCTCCGGGTCTGCAGACAACGATTGCAGACGTTGCTAGTGTTAAGGCTCCTCCAGCTTCGAGCGAGGCGAATGGAAAAGTTTGACGTTGACATTGTGAGAGCTCTGCAAGCGTCTCTCGACCTGTGTGAGATGTCGTATGCAATGGCCAGTGGTCGATCCAAATGTGAAGCTCATCTGCAGATGGATTTCACAAAAATTCCAATGAGGAACTTGGAACACGCTGTTTTAGAAATAACCTGACATGGTTAGTGTATCACTCGGAGTCCACATGTTGGAGGATCCCGCTGCTTTTGTCACATCGAGAACGACAAACTCGACCACGGAACACTTTGTAAGTTTTGCATACGATTCATGAGCAAGCCCAGTGCTTTTACTTTGTCTTCATCTTGAATCTCTTGAAGATTGCATCGGATCATTCGTCTTGTGTTCAACAACGATCAGCTTGGAAGCATCGAACAACGCCAGTTCCCATCTTTCGTACTGTAACAACCTCCACTGAGTCATTTTCTCCCTATGCACTTATTAGATTGCATATATCTCTGAACATGTTCATCTCATGAGTGCACAATGACTACTAAACCGGCCGGCTCATCTGCGGCCGCTTCTTGGGTGTTTCGCTAACAAATGAAACATTGTTGGGATGTCCACATGGCGAGGTTTCTGGAGAATACGGACCACTTCTCGCAGATTCGAGATCGTGGCTTCATAGCTACAGGGACACCCATCTAAACCCTCAGCTGCGTACTCGTACGATTTGATCTTTCACCAAGGTCTTGTGAACTTCCCTGGGCTAGACAAGGCTAGGCTTAAGCTAAGCCTGCACGTGAAACCACCCGCCTTACCTGAGACAACCTTTGCCTCATCAACGTCCTCTTCCCAAACGACCACTCTGGCCGACAATACTGCCCGCAACCGTCAATTCTACCATCGGCCTTTCCTAGCTCTTGTTGTCCACCCAATACAGCAAACATCAGGTCACCGAATGGATATGACGCCATCAATGAGCTGTTTCTCGCTCGCTTGCACGGCTATCGACTCCAGAACACACCCTAGTGCTTCCTTGGCAGGACTTCTATAAAGGCTTTCTCGACACATTCGCCTTCAGGTTGAGAGCAGCTATCTTGGCAAGCTTGACCACTCCGCTCGTCAGAGCCGTGGTGGACTATTTGGTGAGGCCGGATGGCTGTCAAGGCTCATGCAAGTATATAAGTTGAGTGCGGATGTCTTTGAAAGTCGAAACCATCACCTTCACCACAAGCATCTTCTCTTGGATTCTCTTGTTCATCCGCTGGTCGGTTCATTGTTTTCTGCGTCTGTTCTCGCGAGCTAGTCTCTCCTTTCACATCTCCAATCTCGCCTTTCAGTCTTTATCTGGACTCTAGCATTGTTCAAATCGCCAAAATGCATTTCCAAGCCACTGCCCTCGCAGCGTTTATCGCTATTGCTCACGCTCGATTTGGCCAGGAGCAGGTCCCGATCCCAGCGATTGCCGCCGTCCAAGGAGGTAACCCGGGTGACGCGCAAACCATCGCTGGTGCGGCCGTTAGCGACTTGCTTGCCGGTACAAACGCTTGTGACAAACTCAAGCGAGCTGATCAGATTATCAGTGAACTTGGAACCGGAGCCGACTCGATTGCTGCTGCTATTGGACTGGTTGCCGCCGAAAAGAACTTCAATCCATTCGCACAGTCCATCCCTACCATCTGTAGCGATCCAACTTTGCCAGTAACCGATATACTCCGTGGCATCACTCCCTTGATCGACCCAGCTGTGGGTGGATCTGACGTCGCCAATGCTCTGTCTGCTCAGACTGTAGCTACCCCATTGGATGCTACGGGCAAAAGTGTGGCCGATCTCCTGTCCGAGAATGGGTTCACCAATTTCACCACTCAAGACTCGACTGGCACTACTGGCACGGCAGCCGCTGGTGACTCTACAGCTGGTACTGGAGCTGCATCAACTTCTTCTGCTCCCGTGGCTACCTCTGCTGCAGCAGTTGCATGTTCTGCCGCTGTCTCGGCCACTACCTCCGCTGCTGCAGCTGCAACTGCTACAACAACTACTACGGCTGCCACGACTGGGAATGCCTCAGCTGGCACAGCAGGAGCCGACTTTGGTCTCTGCAAGCCTACCATGAAGTTTGAAGGTGGACTTGGTGGTCGACCTGCTACGGAATTTACCTTCTTGCCAATCGACCCTCTAGTCGCCCAGGGACAACAGGAGGCTTTGAACCCTAGTGCGTTTCTTTTCACTGCATTGGTACTGATTGATTGAATGACTTTCTCCAGACATCATCACCAACCGTATCTGCGATCAATTGACCAACGTGTGCAAGGCCAACGATGCAGCCAAGTCACTATGTCGCGATGCTCAAGCTCAAATTGAAGCCCTCGGCACCCGTGACAAGACCACCGCCGACACATGGAACACTCTCCTGGGATTTGCGGGAACTGTCACTAACCCTGATGGTGGTGCAGACTCTCCACCTGCCAAGATGCGAGTCGTTCGATCCTACCGTGCTTAGGAAAATATATACGAACATGTTCTTGTTGAAAGAAGAGCACAGGAGTGAGACACTTTTGCGGATAAGAGGGAAGTGCTAGAGAGGGATAGGAGATACGACAAAGCCCCATGACAGTTCATTTCGGAATGATGTATAATTTAGGCTGATACGCATGATGTACAATGCAGAATCAGAGTTTTGATGTGAAGTATGATCAATATCCAAGTTCTTTCGCTAGAATGATTGATATCAAGATAAATAGATGGAGACACAGCCTCGTGAGTACCGCAGCCTCGCCGACACCCACGATTTGGAACTCGACCGGGTTTTGCACATCTTCACCACTCGGCGGCTTCCATATCGATGGCCTAGCGATTGGGCGAGACTGATGAAGCTACTCTTCTTTATCCTCTCACGGTTCCCACGGTCCGTTTGAACGGTCCGTTTCCACAAATCAAGTCATGGCCGGACCGACACCCTCGGTTAACGTCTCCAATTCATCGTTCCGCTCATCTCCTCCCATCAAAACTTCCCCTCCAGAGAAGCTCAAACGATACACCTGGTCGTCAGCATGATTGTTGCGGGGGACATGTCCAAAGTTCTGATGGACAGCTATCCCGGTCCTTGGAACCGTCTCATGGATCAGTCGTCATTGTCTGACCCCGCATACCTCGTAACCTCCGAGGGTATTAGGAGTGCCAGGTTGAGTGAGTGGTCGGGAACAAAAGAAAGTCCACCCAGCAATATGCACCGTGTGCACTGGACACCAAGTTCCATGACATGACTGGAGAAGTCATCATCTTGCGGAGTACAAAGTCAAAAGTGGCATTAGCATGTCTAACGGGTAAGATGTTGTTCTCAAATATCACGAGTGTTCCGTGAGTAGGGATCTTCATATACATTCCCATCAAATCCCTTTTTCTCTGCTGGGCATAACCTCGAACACTCCGTATCTACATCTAATAATTCCAACATCATGTCTACTACTACCAACGGCACAGCCCATTCTTGGACATCACTGCCCAAAGCAATGTCCAAGTCAGTCTCCTCTTTGCAAAAGACACTCGACAACGACGCACAATGGCAAGCGTTCATCGACACCAACGCCATCGTCGAACCTGTCACGATGGGCGTGCAATCGGTAGGGAGCGAAGAAACCATTCTGGTCCACATCACTTCTGGCTCCAAAACCACCACATCCACCGGCCCAGGTTCAAAGGCGGATTTTGTTCTTTGTGCCCAACCTCAACAGTGGGAGAAATTCTTTGCCGCCGACCCAAAGGCACCATATACTAGCTTCGTAGGACTTCAGGTACGTGCAGTCCTCCCCCAACCTTCGTCGCCCACTCTCCGTCCCCTCCCCCTGTTGTGGATTGTTACTCACCACAACTTGCACCGAAAAACAGGGCATGAATATCGTCCAGGAAGGCGTCGGTGTGCAAGGAGACAAAGTCAAATTCGCCCAGTACGGCCATCTAGCGACTCGTCTTCTCGAATTGCTACGCGAAGGTCAACACGGCCCTCTCCCGACCGACCACCAACCCGAGACCGACGAGGACCACATTACCGGTCGGTACATCTACATCGACGCACCTGTCTGGGGTCGGTCAAAGGTATTTTACGAGACGTCCGGCACCGGCCCTCAACAGATTGTGTTCCTGCACACGGCCGGAAGTGACAGTCGCCAGTATCATGGTGTGATGAATGATTCACGCATGCGAGAACAGTGTACGATGATTGCATTCGATTTACCGGCTCACGGAAGAAGTTTTCCTGGTAGTAATCGTATGTTGTGCATTTTCTTCCTCTTCCTCTTGTCCCATCTCCATTTTCCCACTTTCCACTGACGCCACAAAACAGACATCCCAGGAAACCACACCAACAACGAAGAAGCGTACGTCGGTACGATCCGAGAGGTCATCAAGACCCTCAAGCTCGACAAGCCCATCGTCTGCGGAGCGAGCATGGCGGGACAAGTGTGTGTCGCCGTGGCCATTCGAGCGGAGGAAGTCGGCGCGGGCGGCACCATCCCCCTCCAAGGGTGTGACTACCTCACCATGGACCGACAGTTCAACGACAAATCTCCCGTGGTGAATCAAGCCTTGTTCAATCCCGATTGGAGTGAGTATCCAGACCCTAGAGAGAGAGAAAAAAACAAAAAGAAAACCGACATTCTTCCGCCGTTGACCATGGTGGCTAATGAATCCGACAGTTTACGGCATGATGGCACCAAAAAGTCCTTTGGTAAATAAACAATTGATATGGGTACGTACGAGTTGTACTCTCTGACCCATCTTTCTCTGCCCTGATTCGATTCGTATTCCCCTTTTTTTCCCCTCCTCCTTCCCCTTCTCCCTCCTTACTACTTTCGGTACTCCATACTCTGCCCTCCCTGCCTTGATGCTTGACAAGTGGGTGATCTGACCCTGAACTTCACGGAACACAGCACATGTACTCCGGTCAGGCGTACGGCATCTTCCACGGCGACCTGGACTTCTACTTTGGCGGTTTCGACGCCCGTGACCGCGTGGCGCAGATCGACGTCTCCAAGTGTCCCATCTTCTTCCTCACGGGGGAGTACGACTGGAGCACGACCCCCCGGATGAGCGAAGCCACAGCCCAAAAGATAAAGGGGGCCAATTTCAAGGCCATGAAGGGCTTGGGTCATTTCCCCGCCACCGAGGATCCGGCCAAGTTTGTAAGTCCTCACTCACTCGTCCTTTAACCCCCCAAACCAGAAACAATCGAGAGTCCTCCGTAATCGTGTGAGACAAGTAAGGGCTCGACTAACCACTCCACCTTTCACTTCTCACAGATCCCATACCTCATCGAAGCTATTGAATGGATCCAAAAGACACGACAATCTTAGCAGTCTTAAGTAGTCAATCAAGGGAGTCGCAATCGGCATGACGCCTTTAGTTATTTCCTTTGTCCCGAGGACAATCATATGTACATACAATATGCATCCTAAGCTATACAAATGGGTAAACTGACCACCGCCACCCCACGTTTTTGTTAAGCCTCTATACATTCAATACAACGTAACCGCCCACGCTATGAAACGATCAAATTAGGTGACTGGACACGACCATGTGTGCGGCGTCCCATTTCGCTAAGAGTCATCAATCAATCTCTTCTCCTGCCATGCCTTTTTCGCTCCTGCGTACAGGGCATCAAAATCTCCAGAAGTCTCACACATCGACCTGAACATTCCACCTTCCCTGTTGATAAGCTCCCATGGGGACGCATACTCTTTTACCTCGCCCTTATCAAGCACCAGGGCTCGATCATAATCAACAATTGTCGCCAGGCGATGTGCAATGGTGAGAATGGTGTTGTTCTTCAGCTCACGCAAAGTGTCTTGGATCTTAGAGTCCGTAGCATAGTCAATCGATGCTGTGGCTTCATCCATTACCAAAACCTTCGGTGCTTTTAGCAATGCTCGGGCAAGACACAACAGCTGTCGCTGTCCTTGTGAGAGATTGGAACCCGATTCTGCAACAGGGGACGACAAATCTCGGAAGACGTTCTTGTTATCCTTGGAATTGGTCGCATATTGTGTCAAGGTCGACCCCGAGCTGATTGTCCCATTTCCGGATATGGACGCATGACTCTCTGCAGGGATGGAACTGTCTCGAAGTGTAGGAGACCTGCTCGACACCAGATTTGGCGTTTCGGAGCCAGAACGTTGCGAGCCATCCGTTGGTCCGGAGATGAGTTGAACTCGCCGAAGTGCAGTGAAGATTTCCTCGTCTGTGAAGAGCTCGAATGGATCTAAATTGCTCCTCAAAGTACCGCTGAAAAGGGTCGGATCTTGAGGAACAATTGTAATGGCTTCACGCAAATCTTGAAGGCCAATGAGACCGATATCAACATCGTCGATAAGAATCTTCCCTTCCTCAGCTTCCAGCCCACGGAAGAGCGCCAGAGCGAGCGAACTTTTGCCAGCACCAGTTCTTCCCACAATACCAACCTTTTGTCCGGGCTCGACGCGAAATGTAAGTTTCTTAAGCACAGGATCGAGGTCAGGCCTGTACCTCGTGGTGTACCCAACAAACTCCACACCTCCATGGCTTGGCCAATTTGAAGCTGGTTGTGTCTCCGGAATGCTCGCTGGTGCCTCTTGATCAACATCAATGTATTCCTGGAGTCGCTCAACCGCATTCATATTTTGTTCGTTTGAAGCATAGAGTCGCACCAACCATAGCACGTTCTGGGTGAATGTAATGGCATACGAAAGTGCCAGACCAGCAGCTCCGGGGTCAATCTTGCCAGCGTTGAGAACGACAAACATAGCTGAAAAGCAGGAAACCAAAGCCCCAGCAATGTCGATTCTGAATGCTAACCATCGATTGGTGGCCCACAAATAGATGAACGGCCTATTGTGAGTGTTGACTCGGAGGTGACTCTCATTGATGAAACGCGACTCATCCCCGTAAGCCCGAATTGTAACAACACCAGACAAAGTCTCTCCGAAATGTTGGAATAGAGGGCTTCGTTGAATGGCTTCTATGCGCTTGAGGTCGCGTGACGATCGAATATAGAACAGACCAGTCAAAACATACATAATGGTGATGAAGAAGCCAGGAATGAGGAAGCCCGGAGTGATTGCTGAGATAAGCACCACAATGGTCAAGACAGAAGCAGCACTGTGAAGCATGCCTATCGCAACAGGCGCGACTTCTTGGTCCAATGCCTGGATGTCCTTGGAGAATCGATTGGTGAGTTGGCCCAAAGGCGTCGAATCAAAAAATCTGAACTTGGCGCGTAGAATGCTTGTCAATAGCTTCTCATGCAGCTGCCAGGAAGCACGTCTCGAGCCCCAGAAGAGGATTAACTCCCTTGCAAAGCAGATGAAGACGTAGACAGCACCGATCACAGCGTAGATACCTAGATAGTACCACGCATCGACGTGGTAGAGCGATTCAACCATTAGCGTGCCTGCATTGGCCAGAGTCTGCGGAAGCTGGTAAAATCCACCACCCAACTTTGGAGATACCACTGCTGTTTGATGTATGCCTTGAACGACTGCATGGGCGCCATCGGTCTGGCGCAGGTGGTAAGCATTCGCCCACTGCCGGATCCAGAGATTGGTAGCAACAGAGCCTAACTGAGTGGCAATGAAGCCCCAGGCAGCAAAAATCCAGTAGTACCAAGGGCCCATAGCCTGCAGATACATCTTGATAGTCGACCACTTGACACTTCCAGTTGCTTTGGCCTCTAGACGAGAATCGACAAATTCCTTTTCTGCCTTACTGAGTTTGGCTTTGATCCTGGCGGTATCTCTCATGCGTGATCCTGGGCCAACATGGCCGTTACCTCCGGACAATTTCGAAGTCTCTTCCTCGAGATTGGAAGAGACTCTTGAAGGGCCCTGAGACGCTGCTCTTGATACAGGGCGGGATTTCAGCAATTCTTCACCGAGTGCGCCACAGTCTGCGACTTCTTCCGGCGTTCCTTGGGCGGTAACTTTGCCGTTGTCTAGTACAACAACATGACTAGCCAGGGGAATTGTCAAGGAAACATTGTGCGAAACCAAAATGCAGGTCCGGTTCGTCATCAGGGTGCCAGTCAAAGCCTCCTCGAAAATGTGTTTCGCCGTATGTGCATCCACCGCGCTGAGACAGTCATCCAGCAGGAGATGTTTAGAATTCGAGTAGATGGCCCTTGCGAGGGATATTCTCTGTTTTTGACCGCCAGAGAGGGTAATTCCCTTTTCGCCAACCAGAGTCATGTCACCAGCGTCGAGTATCTCCAAGTCGCGCTCAAGAGCACAAATAGAAATGACCTCGTGATAACGGTCTTCGTCATAGGGACTCGCGAAAAGAATGTTGTCCTTGATGGTGGCATTCACAAGCCATGCTTGCTGTGCGCAGTAGGCCACGCTCTCAGTCAGACCTGTGTAGGGGTCTGGTCGCAGATCTTGTCGCACAGAACCTCCTGGGATATGAACTTGTCCGTTAAGTAGCTGCATTTCACCAAGCAGTGCCATGAGTAAAGATGTCTTCCCTGAACCAGTTGGGCCAGCGATCACGCTGAGTTGACCCAGAGGAAAGTCCACATCCATGTTGATCAAACGGAAAGCATCGGCAGCATCACTCTCAGAAATGCCCCATGTTAATGTTGCATTGTCAAGGGCGATTCGAGTGGTTGGCATACTTCTTCTCCTGCTCTGTCGCAATTGTACATACTTTTCAGTTTCCTCTTCGTCCAGAAACTTTTCAACACGGTCTACCGAGACCTTTGATTCCTGCACATGGGCCACCATGTCTGCAAGTTGGTCCAAGGGTATTCGCAGCAGAGAGAACATTGACAGGGCCGGGAAGGCGACAGATGGGACAAGAGGTCGCTTTTCAATCTTAGTGTAAATGAGGAAAGACGTGAATGTGATCAAGATGGGTACTCCACTCCAGATAGTAGCTGCACTGGCCCACAGCACATACTTCCGCCACAAGGCAGATAGTTCAATGTGTCTCTTCTCGTTGACATTGTTCTGAAAGCGCTGTTCCCATGCAAAATACTTGATGATCCTGATATTTTGCAAGACTTCATTTGTGACATGGATCCGACCATCTGTGGCAGTCATAATCCTTTTCTGCGCAGCTTGGAATGATTTGGCAATGAAGAGATTCAATGGCAAGATAAATATCATCATGACGATGCCTGCAAAGGAGCTGTAGCCCAAAACCTTGTACAACAATGCAACGGCCATGACAAGTTGGACCGGAACTGCGGCCCACAAGAAGTGTAGGTAGGCACAGATTTCGGCCACTTTGAAGGAATCGATCGACATGAGATTGATAATCGTGCCATTATTGGTCCGAGTATTACCAGCCTTTGATGGCGTAGCTTCAGGTTCAGGGCTCTTCCGAAGGCGTAGGCCTTTGCTTTTCAGCATTGATTTGAACCTGAGAGAGAGAGACGCTTTGGATTTGGGCGGAATCTTCTCTTGTTCGGAGTCTGTACCTGCTGCTGCCTTTCTTCTGAGCGTTTTTGAATAGATCTCACCGACTATGATGGCGCGAAGTCGAATACAGATCTTCCTGCCGATCCACAATGCTTGACCATCACTAACGGCCTGCACTGCTCCAGTAGCGAAAAGGAGCACAACGTACAGCCATGCGGCACTTCGTGGGATTCTATCGGTATTCTCCAGATATTCCAGAATGGCTTTGAGAAGGAGGGTGGGCAGGAACATGAAAATGCTGGCCAGCATGCACCATGCGCCCTGAATGAGTAAATCCTTCTTGAAGTGCAACAAGAGCCGGACAGCGAGTGAATGCGCTTGCGCAATTTGTCGAAATTGGGCGAGAACAGTCTCGGCCTTATCGGCCAAAGAAACATTCCATACGTCTGCGAGATCGAGAGGCTTCTTGTAACCTTTCCACACTATCGGATCGACCCAGGAAAATGTCACTAGGGAGAGCACGCTAGCCAAGGGTTCTCGGGACGGTTCAATATCGCCTTCATACTCGAGCAAAACACCCTTGTTTCCCTTTCGTGAACAAAGTGCAATGACCACCAGCACACTCGTGATGCTGAATGAGACGATCGTCATGCTTTGCATTAGTCGGTCGACGGGGTGAAGAAGTGCCGAGCGGAACACCCAAACTGTGTTGAGCCATTGTGTAAGGTATAGTGCTGCACTGTGGCTCCATAAGCTCTTGACTGGCGATTCCCAAATCGTGGTCGAAGCCAGGAGGCGAGTTCCAGCGAGGACTGCAAGGTAGACAGAGGCAACGGTTTCGGCGACGGCAGCGTGCTTTCGACGGTTCGATGAGTCGAAGATGGTGACAATGTTGACCACCAGCTGAGTCAATACCAGTAAGAATTCCACTGTGACTAGCAAGACCTCCCCGGTCGGCCTATCAACGTCCTTGATGGACATAGCACCACGACTATGCGTCTTCTGAAGCGTGAGCCTTGCCAGCGAATCTTCATCCTCCTCTTCCTCTGTCGAGACTTCATCGTCATCGACATTGATCAGGATGTTATGGAACGCTTTCCGGCGTTGGGCTTTCAGTCTCTGGCGACCTATTTGAAGGAGTAACAACAGGACGGATAGTGCACATGCTAACAGTGGAAAGAGGGTCTGGAGGTAGCTGTTTGATTCTTGGTTAGTAAAGCCGGCTCTCATCAATGAATTTAGGACGTACTCTGCCTGGAAGCATGGTGTCAAGTCATCGACGCGCCAGATTGGTGGTTTGCACTGTGCAAACATGTTTCATTAAATTTCTTCGTATGTATGTCCAAGAACGTCCACCGCTGCTTCACCTGGATGCGGGGAAATCGGCGAGCATGTCGAGCGCAGGCAATAGAAGGTACAGATCGAGTAATATACAAGCTCGGGATGTGCTGAGGATGAAATATTGGTATAGTATGAACAATGTAGAATGTACAGACGGCAACTGAGATGATCTTCTCAAGAGGCGGGAAGAAAAAATCCGGGGCAGGCGCTATGGCACTGGCGGTGGGAATCGCAGGCCGTGTGGTCTTTGCTGTCTTTGACAACCACAACAACTCGACTTGTAGCCAAGTCAGTCGTGATAAGCGAATGCAAGCCTTGATTACACGGTATTAAGGTACCTACGAGTGGTTGTACCTGGCTGTCCGTCCCTCAGTCCTCTGTCAAACTGAGTTAACCGACATTGACGCACAACGCCACTTTCGGATCATGCCTTCTATCATGACGCTGAGTCTAGACTGTATACGAACAACCATACAAAAGCATCTTGTGTCCGTGGAACGGCCGAGCAGCTGACAATATTAGGAGAGCCAGGCACGGATATGGAGACCTATTTAGGCGAACCCAGTGACGGCATGAGGGGCCTCTTAGGCGGCGACACGCCCGGAAGCAAAGGCCAAACAGGGGTGGATTGGGGGCGTTGGGGCGCGTGCTTTAGGCGGGTCATGACACACTGACCGAGGCAAAAAGCCAATAATTCGATATTCTCTCATTAATAAAGCCTCAATGTGATGCACCAGGAATTCTCCGTACTCGAAGCGGATGGCGATATCGAAGTCATAGTCGTATTACGGGTCCTCCGTACTATAACTATCTAGACCTATTTACTACGACGTGTCCCTGCGCTCACTGCGTAACTTCATATCCATCCGTACTCAGACTTTCAACCTTCATCTTTCCCCTTCGTTGTCCTACCTTGCATACGTCAAATCTGTCTGTGACATTTTACAAGCAGTGCTTACTCTTCCTACTCTCCCTTCCACCCCCTAGGTTTACGACCCACGTTGACTGTCGCTGTCACCTCCTGATTGATTCAACTACCTGACGTCTACTGAAGGGTCGATCTCTCGAGTCAGTTGCGACCTTTTACCTTTGAACAATGTACCTGCGGTGACAAAGTACTGCCTACCAAGTGACGACGCTGAAAGAAGTACTCCGTATTCAAGCTCTATCTGTGTTCAATAACAACACCCAAACTACATACGCATTCACCTGCTTGCCACTCTACAGCTGAACTCCGACATCTACTTAATCCCTCGTTCCAAACATCCTGGCTTACATTTTACTCCGCCGCCCTCATACACCCTCTGAACAAATCCAAACATGTCGTCCCAGGCTGTACTCCTAAAGGAGTACAAGGCTTTACAAAAAGAAAAATGGGTGCAGATCGATGTAAGTCAAGCCATCACAGGCCAGAAGACCCCAACGCTCATGTGGAACAGATTGATGAAGACAACATGCTACATTGGAATCTAGCTCTGATGGTCGTCAATCCCGACTCTCTGTATTATGGTGGTTATTTCAAGGCTCAGATGAACTTTCCTAAGGAATATCCCTACAAGCCTCCGGGTCAGTAAAAAGATCCTCGCGGATCCAGTCGGATTGTACTGACATTGCGTAGATTTCCGCTTCACGAAGCCACTCTGGCACCCAAACATCTATGTTGACGGTCGCCTTTGCATCTCGATCCTTCATGCACCGGGTGACGACGCCATGTCTGGTGAGACCGCCGGTGAACGTTGGTCGCCTGCCCAGAGAGTCGAGTCGGTCCTCATTTCCATCTTATCACTTCTCGATGACGCCGAGATTTCTTCCCCTGCCAATGTCGACGCAAGCGTCATGTTCAGAGACGACAAGGAGGCGTTCAAGGCCAAAGTGACGCAGGACGTCGAGGCTTCAAAAAAGGACATTCCCGAAGGATTCGTCATGCCAACACATGAGTCGACCAAGCCAGTGATTGACAAGGTGGATGATGACTTCTGGCAAGACAGCGACGTTGAAGATGTCGACTTTGACGATTTCGACGATTTCGATGACGATGCCGCCAACGGGAGTGAATCAGATCAAGAATTGAACAATGACTCTGAAGATGAAGAGACGTATGATGAGGACGACGAGGACACTGAGTATGCCAAGGGGAAACGTCGAGAAGATCGACTAGATTCCGACATGACCGAGCCAGATGTTTGACTGTGTCGCGTCGACAAATCCAGTTCACCATTTGATCAAGGTTATTGAGACGTCCGTTGGGGTACTGGCAAGAAAGTTCAACATCTTTCTCTGTACTCACACTCCGGGACCTCTTTCGACATTGATTTTCTTTATTTGATATTGAGGTGCAGTTTCTCTCGGTTCAGCAAGGCGTCGGTGGGTTCCGAGAATCATTCGGCGTAGAAAGGGTTATGGCGTACAAACTATTAGACATGGGAATTCGGGTTATGGAATGATGTTACTCGGTCTCTTTTCTTTTGCTTTTCTGCATGATATCCACAGAAATCTTCTCTGAGAGCTATGGCATGAGGCTTTTATCCAGAATGAATTCACATTAACACTATCAAGTGAGACTAGCTATTTTCTTTTTGGTTCAACACACCGCCTGAGTTGTTGGGTGTTTGTATATTGAAATCTAGAGAGGAGAGATCATGAGGCTGTCTCAGACACCCCTGGAACTACCTGAGGTAGGTAGGTTAGGGCATGCTAAGAAGCATTACAACTGTACCGGTCTAATTTCCTAGGCTACTGAAGGGTGAAGGTTTTGACGAGGCTCAGGCTCCTATTCTCCCTTTGTTTTCTTAACCCGTATCCTCTTTTGTACCTCATTTCACTTACTCTGCAGAGTATGTGTACATGCATACATACATACATACATACATATATATATATGTATATATATATTATATATACCCCGAACTATACTTGATCCCTTACCATCTTCGTTCATGAAAGGGAGCGAGACCGCTTTACTCTGGCACGTGACGGAGCGTCGAGGGAGCTACATTCGCAGAAGCCAGTTCGAGCACATGGAGGGCCAGATCAGGTCCCCAAGCAATCGGCTATACCTGCCTCTCAACTAGGCCATCTGTTTTGGACTGAAAAATTGTTGCCAGGAAATCCGACTTCGGTTTGGGCGGTCCTGTGCTTCGGGTAACTCTGATCGCGGGCTGGGCACCGCAAGAATTCTCCCCCTGCCGCATCATGCACCCAATCCTCGATTCTCCCTTTTCGGCTCCATCACAGTTGCTGACTACAACTCGGCGAAAAGGCAGAATAGTGCGGGGGTGTGCACAGTCTAGTGGGTGCCTAACTTACCCGATCGACCCCCCAGCCCCACCTATCACGAGAGGACCACGAAAATCTCAGAATAACAATTGAACAGCTGAAATTTCAGCAACAACGAACCGCGACTATAGCTCAGGTTGGTCCCTCCCACTCCTATTCTGTGCGATAAGGGTTGCTAACTGTGGTTTCAGCTGGGAGAGTAAGGCAACCACACCGCAATGTCGCTCAAATACTAATCCTAGTCCCTAGGCGTCGTAAGTTTCTCCCCTCCTTAGGGAAGAGTTCCCCTGCTAATACATACTCTCAGAGACTGAAGTTAGACTTCGGTTCAGTTTATCTGAAGGTCCTGTGTTCGATCCACAGTGGTCGCAGTCTTTTTTTTCCTTTTCAAGGTCTTGTGTGAGGATGTGCCAAGACGCCAAGCACATATGTACATAGCCCGCGGCACGCAGGCTGCTCTCTTACGACTCTCCAGCTTGGAAGTCGATGTCGCCCTGTGCCTGTAGATAGGCAACCCTGTTGCACTTCTTCGTTTTGGTACGCCGACGATCCGCCCCTGACATCTTGCATTTCTCCTTTTGGACGGACGGCTTTCTTTTTTAACACCCGTTTCTTCGGTGCATTTGCCGAGGTAGATGGCACACGGCACTCTGTATTTGGGACTTACTCCCGGATACGGGAACCTATCCATAGAACGTACATTTTGCTGGTGCCGGGACTTGCCAGCTATGGAAACGAGGAATATCAAAAGGCACTGGGAAGGAATAATGCGATGACAAACCTGTCAGTGATCCCGACACGCCGTAGCACCGTCGCGCGAATATATATATATATATATTCTCGTGCGGAAAAGGGAATGGTTGTTTGGTTGTTTGGTTGCTTCTGATTTTTCATTTCGTTATATTTCAATTCCTTACATGATATCACCATTCTGCATTGTCAGTCGGTCTTTCCTCAGGGCATGATGCCGACATGGTTTTCATCAATCCAAAAGATAATCATTTCAATCAATCATCCTCAAAATCTCCTCGACACATCTCTCCGGCTGTTCCTGGTTGACCCAATGGCCGGCTCCGTCCACGAGGACGGTCCCCCTGTACATTCCGGGTTCGACACTCTTGTTCGTTTCCATGGCCTCGACGGCCCCCGGTTCCTGGTACGTCCCCCAGTCACTCTTGCCGCCGACGAACACCGTCGGGACCGCGAGTTTCGCGCCACTCCAGAGAGTCATCTCACCCGCTATCTCGGGCGACGTCTGGATGCGGTACCAGTTCAGGCCACCCTGGAAGGTGGTGCGGCCCCATTCGCCCACGTACACCGCCAGTTCGGGGTCCGGGAGCCACCGTCCCGCCCTGTTGGCCACGGTGCCGGGATCTTCGCTCGCCATGTCCCGGGCCACAGCCTCGCGCATCGTGTCGGCCAGGTCCATGATGTAGTAGCGCGGCATCTGGGACAGGGCGGGCGCCGTCCACCCCGCGAGGGCGTGAGGGGAGTTGCCGTCCCAGTCGGCGGATTTGAGGTGGAAGTAACCCCTGAGGAATTCGTGCAGGGCGGGACCCGTGGGGTAGGTCATTTCGTCGTTGGACGCCGGCGTGCAGTAGTACCATTTGTAATGCTTGCGGGGACGGGGTAGTTGAGAGAGGGACGTGTGAATGTCTTTGTCGTTGCTGTTGTTACCTTGTGCTTCGTCGCCGGCACCTCCTTGGGTCGGTGTTGCTGCTTCTGCTGCTGCTGCTGCTGATGTAGTGGTAGTGGTCGACTGACCATAAGATGGAGACGTGCCAAATGGCAGAGAGGGTGGACCTTTGAAAGGATGGGACATCAATACGAGACGACGAAACATGTCTGGACGAGCGAGCGCGCAGTACGTCGCCGTCACGGCTCCAAAGTCGTGCCCTACGATGGCGGCGGCGTGAGTGTAACCTAGCGCGCTGACGAGGGTGACGGTGTCCCTGATCAGGGTCGTCGGACTGAACGAGGTAGCGGCCAGAGGCTGGCGGGAGAACGTCCGACCAAATCCGCGTTGGTCAAAAGCCACGGCATGGTACCCCTTTGCCGATAGTAGAGGGAGGATCTTGCGCCAGGAATACGCGATCTCGGGAAAGCCATGGCACAGGACGATCAGAGGTGGTGGTTTGGTGTCTGCAGAGGAGGTGAGAGTCGAGGGCAGAGATTCGAGAATGTGAAATACCAAACCACGAGGACTGGTGTCGACGAACCGAGATGTTATGCCCTCGGGAAGAGAGAGGGGAGGAAGTGTGGTTGGATCAGGGGAGGTGGAAGGGGAGTCTTGATGTGTGTATGCCATGATGTGTATGTGTTATGAGAAGCAGTAGCTCGGGGTGGATGAATTTCCCTTGAAGACTGTACGGGAATACTTGCAGAAGATTATATGCTTCTCGTGGATGCTATGAGGTCTAATGAGTCAGAGTGATATTGGAACGTCTGGTCCAATCGAAACATGACGTGAGGTTTGGTGGTCAAGGATAAAAGTAGAATGGATGATATATAGACCGAGGTGCTTTTGATGGGCCGATAGCGGGGCTAGGCGGATACTGCGGGTGGGAGGCACTGGTGCGGTACCGGGAATACTTCAACAACCACTGGGAATACCATGTGGATAGATATTGCGTATGCTTCTAAGAGATAGAGGACATATCGACGCATGGTTCGTATACATTCCCTAATCTGGTGCTTCGTCCGTATGAGTGTGATTTGATGCAGAGACCTGACGTGGTGCAGAGACCTGATATGACATGATTCGATCAAAATGCGAAGTCCTTATTTAGTTGATCCCTCGTCAAGTTCCCATGTAACAACTGGCCTTATTCATAAAGACTTTGGTAGACTGTACGTGATATTCCCTTTGTCCGATACCTGTTCAGCTCTCACCATGCCATGACTCATTGTCCAACAACACCAATATCGACTTGAACACTGTCGAAATTCTAACTTGGAAACTTTCCAACAAGACAATGCCAATCTTCACCTGTCCAGATAGCTTGACTTTTGCCTCAGAGTCATTCTCTGTTCCTAATTTCGCAATTGCAAAAACAAGAGTCGCAAGAAACACACAGACGGCGTCATGAGTGGCCTCGAACCTCCTTCGTGCTCTCTGCGATGCGACTATCTCTTCACCGGCGCCGAGAATCTGGCCAGCGTGGCTCAATGCCAGATCATAGTGACCGCTATGCGTCCATTGATCCAATACCCTGGCATGGAGATCTCCCAGCTCGACAGGGGTGGCTGATCTTGAGGCACCTTCACGAGCGACAATTGTATGAGCTATGTCTTGAAAATGCTCCAATGGTGTATGGAGAGCCATCACTATTGTGAAAAGTAGGGTCCTTGCAGATGGCATCTCTGTGAACTCTGTTGGTTTTGATTCCAAAAGTCGCTGTGAGTACATTTCAATTGTTTCGGGTCTCCAGTACTGTCCCATTGGCGATGAACAGTTTCCCGTGGGGTGGCTCATTGCAAACCAAGATATGGAACCAATACATGACAGCTCTTGGTAGAAGGTTGTCACTGACGCTGTATCAAGGAAATTTTGTGGATCGCTGTGTTCCAGCCTGCCCAGGAGTGTTTGAACAAGCTGAAGGTGCGGTCGTGCGAAACTTGGTTGTAATTGTAGTAACAATGTGCGATAACATTCGATGATCAGAATGTCGTTGATCACGATGATTCCTTCAGAAGCTGAGTCAAGCAGGAGATCAGTATTGTCTAGCAATGTTTGATGATCTGCCATTGCTTGGACGAGTCCAGAATGAGATGCTTCACTGATCTCATCGGATCTCTGGTGTCCACTGCATAGCCCGAATATCTCTAGGGCTATATATGTTTGCAGCAGACTAGCTGACCTTTCCAATGTATTGATGCTGCAATCATCTAGAATAAGATACGTGAGCATCCTTTGGCTGTCAGTGTAGTACAGTTTGGCAATGATCTCGCTTCCAGCAGAATTACTGAACAAAGCGCCGACGGCAGCCATGGCAAGTACCTGTGCGGGAAGGGTATGTACAGAGACTTCATAGTCCGTAAAAGAAGAGAAGACCTCATCGACATGTCGGAAGAAAATGCGAATCAACACATCAATCACCTCAATGTCGTATTGCCGTGGAATCAGCGGACGCTTGATCCAAGAGTCTAGGCGTTCGCGTTGATCCTGAGACGGGGTGTCCCGGGCAAATACAGCTCGATTAAGCCTCTCATAAGCAGTATCAGTCTGAATATCGCTACCGTAGCTGTTGGTAAGCATCGTCTCATCAAAAAGTATATCGAAAGATGTAGAATCACCAGGGTCAAATCCCAGGCCATTCAAGAATTCGGATCCGATGTCGAATAGACAAAGAGCCTATGAGATATTAGCGAGGGATCTATGGCCTCTTTGTGTAAAATAGTATACCTGGCTATAGTCGACCTCTTGTAATTCGGACTGCAGATCAACCAAGGGGGAAATACCTTCATGCTGTCCTGCTATTAAAGGCGAAAAATAGGGATCTGATGGTCGCAATCGTTCGTCATCTGCTATGACAGTTTCGAAGTCCTCAAGAACTTCAGTGGCTATGTCAATTGGGGGAGACCCTTGGGTAGGAAAAGATTCCATAATCGGTCCTGTCATGTCCGGCTCATGGGTCCTTTGAAGCCAAGTAGAGGCAGACGCGTTTCCTCGACGCTTTTCTCTCTGATAGGTACATGCCGTATTCTTAATGGAGCATTTTTGGCACGGTGAACTCCCATTGCATTTCAACTTCTTGCTATGACAGTAGTCACAGGCAAGCCTTACCCGTGGCCTGCGTTGGCTTCGAGATGTGGTGGGAATATCTAGCATTTCCCGGCGTTTGGGGCATGATTTGCCCATATGCCTGCGCAAAACATCATCACGTTGATAGTGCTCGCCGCATAACTTGCAGACAAATGGTGCTGCACCGCTGTCTTGACCCAGATTAGCATTCGATCAGGAGGCAATCCATAGATAGTGATATCATACGTATCAGTAGATGCCTGGCCAAATGCTCTGCTCGGCTGAAAGTGCGTCCACAGATTGAACACTGAAGTTGACATATATGTTAACGAACGTGTGTATGTAGTGTGTCAGAGGAACGTACGGTACGATCAGCAGTCGCACTGGCATTGTCCGTGGGAGCTTGCAGTTCCTCCATATCCGAGCATCATTCAGGCAGTGGAAGGTGGAGAATGACGATGAACATGAGATGAAGATGACTGAACTTTAGACCAACACCAGGTTCGAGAAAGCCGAAGTACGGACAAAGTGCGGGATATCGGGGGAAAGCCATCGACCAGGTTGAGTAGGAGGCACCCGGCCTACATGTGGATAAGCGAGGCTCCATAAAGTATGGGGTATTGAATAGTCAGTAAGATACTGTTTGTGACATGTATTCACTTCCAGCTCAGTGGCTTCATCGCTTCCTGCCTTCCTTCACGATTTTCTCTCATGGACCCGGCACCATTCACTAGACATTTCTACATGCATTGTCAGCAACAGGTGGAACAATGTCAGTACACCACACCACTACTCTATCCACAGCAAGCCTGCAGTACAATCGGTGGACGCCTGAAGAATATGCCGCAGAGCAAGATCAGCAACATCCAGGTGCGATCTTCTTGAGGAAATACAAGAATGATTTGCTCGAGAAAGAGGGTAGGCAAGGACACCAAAGGCTCTTGAACAAGGAAAGGGCACCTTGCCTACAAGCACTCGCCAAGTCTACAAATACCTTGCATGCAAGTGAATCCTCACTATGTTTAAGTCTCCGATCAACGCGAATAAGTCAAGCTAATGACCGTATCAGCCTGCATGGCCATTGAGCTCCTTCCAGGTGGAACTCGACCTACCTCCAGTAGACGAGACTCAGTTGTTGTGTTCTGTACCTTTTACTCGATTTTCTCATCACTACACCACTCTGCACTACATAGGTGCGGCACCGTGCATGACAGACGGTGGCTACTTTTCTCATGCTCTGGCCGCACTCGGTGCTGCGCTGCAAGGCTCTCCTTACCGCGTGGCTCTTTGGCTGCATGCAAACCGTACACTTACTGCTACCTTGGCCATCAACAACAGAAGACTTCGAGAATTGAAAGCGCATATAGCAGTGAGTCGCATATCCAGGGGCCAACTGCGGTATGACTTACTGACGTCGATTATGACAGTGGCCACTGATTGAGACGGCCGCCGTCATGAGCAGTGATCTGGTCTTATGGAGACGTGCTAACATCGCTCGCGGATTCCCTGAAACGGTGGCTTCTATTACCAGAATTATGAATGGCAAGAAACTAATCTGATGCAGGCTATAAGGAGATGGTGGAAGATTCTGGGAGGTGCCGCAGCCCGAGGTGCACACATGTAAGATCAGCCCTCGATGCGGCAGACAATACTGACTTCGAAGATTCGGCTCACTCACACTGTATACTCTGCAACTTGACCTTCTAAAAGCACTACATATGGGTACGACACCAACCATAGCCGCGTCATTTGGCCATCTTCCGCTAGGAGAACCCCCAGATTTCTCAATCCTAGACGTTCAGGATCAACTCTTCAACGAGGCCAGCGACTCAGAGACACGTGAAGAGAATATTCTTTCTCGTCTCTTGATTATCTTGAACCATCTTTTAACATACAACTCCATTCTTCATCCATTTCAAGGCAAATCGATCGGAACACCAGAAACAAAATTTAAAGTATCATCACTTACTCAAGAAGAGCAAACCCATCGATCTCGTAAACGAATTGCCAATGCACTTTCACATTGGCATCAACGGCATTTCGAAGCCGTATCAGCAGAGCTTCAAACTTTATACTGCTTGACAAAGCTTTGCTTTCTAGAGCCTAGACTCCAGTCATTACTTACAGAAGCTGGCTATCCACCTCGATGCACTCATGGCTGGGCGTCCGGATTTGGGCCGTCCTGTTCACCCGCTCCAGAAGCTGTACACTATGCCTGGCTGATTCTTGAGTTTGTCTCTCACTCCAAAGACCGGGTCGCTTTGTGGTTGCCCATCGCCACATTCTTGGCTGCTCTTTGCATATGGAGAAATATCAAATCTAACGGGGATTCCCGAACATATGGATCGATCAAGGTCCTCAAGCTTTTTCGAGACGAGCTTGTGACCATGCCCTGGCCTTGCTGCTCTGTCATGATTCAGACTCTGGATATATTGTCATAAGATCCTGCGTTTCCCAGGGAGGGTGACGGATAATATGGCTGTAATAAAAGCCCTGCTTTGTAACATGCCGTACAAGTAAAGTTCGTTACTGTATGTGAGCCGGTCAAAGTATCATTCAAGAAATGAGGAGAAGAGTATCCACGAGCGTGGCAGGACCTCTAACATTGAGGGTCACCAGCATCATCTCGGCAATATGCTCGGGTCAGGTGGGGGATTCGGCCGAATTCACCTCCAGGTGTTGAACACGATGCCCAATATGAGATCATCTATGGAGACCTTGGGCTAGAGCATAGCTGGACTATCGTCTTTTCTAGCTGCTCCTCCAGGGCATCCCTAGTGGAAGCGTATTTCGTCCTTGCCAAGCGCCTGTCTATGGTGTACCCATAGAGAGAATTGTATGTTAGTCGACATCAGGCTGTTGCGCGCCATGAAGCTCGAACATCTCAGCTCCGAAGCTCTCTCGACCCCTTTGAAGGTATACCCCCTCCGATACCGCCTTGGCCTTGATCTTCAGTGATCAACATGGTACGGCAATTGCAGAGCAATCGGCCGAAGACCTAAATTCCGGGGCTATCGAGCCTGTTCGTGCCATGCTTCTGGACGAAGCAATACATAACTACTCGCCTCCATCGGCAGGAATCATGAATTGAACCAACTTCTCCAAGTAAACTTCTCATCATGATCGGAAGGGATGTTTTGAAAGCGTTTGTACTCGTTGGGCTTACAGCCTCTCTGTGCGCCGGTAGTATTCTTCAGGATCTTGGACCCAAACTTTCGCCTCAAGCGTGGATCACCACAAACAACTCGACTGCTGTTCGATGGAGTGATTACCATCCACCTACGGCCGGCTACTATGTTCATGTGGCAGAGGAAGCAGATGTTGCAACAACTGTCAGTATTGAAAACCAAATTGTCAATGCCAATGCTGACAGACTGACACACCTCAGGTTAAATACTGCAACAACCATAATATTGGCTTCCTCGCTCAGTCTGGTGGTCGTGGATGGAGTACTACATTCAACACAACAAAGGACTATGTCATAATGGACCTGCGGAACCTCAACTTTGTCGTCATCAATGGCGAGACAAACTGCTCATGTTGGCGGTGGTGCCAATTTTGGGGAGATTGTCGATGCTGCCTATGAGAACGGACTGCAAATGGGTGAGTGTACATCTTATCTGCCGTTTCTATCTGTATGTCTGAGTGTTTCCGGCTCTGACATCCTCAACAGTCAACGGTGGATGTAATTGCGTTGGGCAAGGGGCATTGCTAGGAGGTGGCCTCAGTCGATTCTCGAACCGATATGGCATGGCTTTGGATCAAATTCTGTCCGCGAACCTGGTCACAGCTGAAGGCCAGATGATTGCCGTTTCCAACTCTTCCCACCCAGATCTTTTCTGGGCCCTGAAGGGGGCGGGAGCCAATTTTGGTATTGTGACGTCCACCTTACAGAAAGCCTACCCTGTCATCGACGATGGAATGGTATGGTACGGTGTCCTTTCGTTCCCTCGCAGCAAGCTGGAGGGCTACATCGATGCTCTCAACAATTTGAATCTCACTGAAGACATGGTCATTCACTGGGGCTTCAACTACGACACTCCCAACTCCACGGGCACTCCCATCATCACTTCCCAGGTGTTCTTCTGGCGAGGAGATGCCGAGGCTGGCAAGAAAGCCTTCAAGCCTCTCTACGACTTGGACCCGTTCAGTGACACGACCCAAGTCATGCCCACCACCGACTTGAACAGCTACGTTGATGGCTTCTGTGAGGTTGGAGGTCGCAAGCCAGGCTGGCACGTCGGGCTGAAATCCCTGGATTACAACACGTTTTCGTCGGTTTGGGACCGTTGGGTGGACTTTGTGAATGGCTCCCAGTTGTACCATACAGAAATCCTCGTCGAGACCTATTACACCGAAGGGATAAGGAGGGCCGCAACTACCAAAGACGCTGCGTACGCACAGAGAGACGTCAACCACTTCGCCATGACAATTCCATATTGGGAGGATCCATCAATGGACAGGGAAGTACAGGCATACGGAAGTGGAATCCGTGATATGTTCAAAAACACGAGTGGCTTTAACCCTGACAAAATGTAAGTTGTGGAAGGTCTCCTAACGATGAACACATAATGCTGACATTCAGTGACTTGCACAGGTACATCAACTTTGCATATGGTGACGAGCCACTTGAAGAGATCTACGGAGATAGTCTGCCACGTCTGAGAACTCTCAAAAAGCAGTGGGATCCAAATGGCAAGTTCAATCAATGGTTTCCAATAGTCTGAGCTGGTGTCATTGGATTATACGAGTCATATGTACGTAAAATGCACGGTTACAGAATTTCCTATCTTAAAACATTTCTTTCAACGTCCACTTGTCCATGACAGTGGAAGCACATGGTGTCGAACCTAGTATGTGAATTCGCAATGATGTCCCGTATACTCCGTAGTGCAATGGTCACTCCTCGAGGAGCATGCCATGCCTTGCATTTGCACACTAGCTAGACAGCCCTCCTTTCGGTACCCTTCAGTTGTCCCTGATGACGCACGGTCGGTACTTGTGGGGGCTAGTGATCATGCTTCAACTCTCACATCTGCCGACGCTTCTCAAGGCGAGAGAGGCCAGATGGCTAGTATCGGTGGTGCCAGCGCAAATGAGCTACAACGGCCGAGATCCTACACCCGATGTACCTTCGAAAACACTATGAGCGCGTTACAATGGTGGTTCTAGTGTACGGGTCTTGTGCAGTATCGTGTCACAATTCTGAGAGGGATCGGTGCCGGTGTTCTTATAATGATGCAGAGATGTTCTCCATTGAAAGTCTCCTCACTATCTAGCATTTCAGATCCTCGTACTTTTTCAGCCATGCCTCTGGAATTGAAGAATCTGCACGTCATCGACGACCAATCGTTCGACTACGTATTCGAGAGAGATGTTGACATCCCTCTGAAAACAACAAAACCAGCATTCGAAGGAGATCCCCTTATTGTTCGTGCAAACGTCTACCGGCCCAAAAAGCCAGGGAGGAGGTTCCCTGTACTGGTCACCTACGGGCCCTACGGAAAAGACATACCTTACTCTCAGTTCCACGCCGCTTCGTTTGCAGAAGTCAATCCAAAGCACAAGTCAACCCATTCGGCATGGGAAGTGCCCGACCCGCTGTTCTGGACGTCCAACGACTACGTGGTCGTGCGGGCAGATGAACGTGGGACGGGAAACAGTCCTGGGTTCCTCGACTCTATGAGCTCCGGGACTTGTGACGGGTTCGCGGATGTCATCGAATGGTGTGCGGACCAACCATGGAGCAGTGGCAGGGTAGGACTGTTGGGCATCAGTTACTACGCCGGATCTCAATGGCGAGCGGCGGCTAGGAATCCCAAGGGACTGGCATGCATCATACCTTGGGAAGGTCAGACGCTTTGAAACAGCACCGGGTTCTTTCTTTTCCACCAAAGTTCTTGATTTGATTCTCCTGAACCGTCGCTCTCATGGGGGTTACTGAAGTGCCGGAACTGACCACCACCCAGGTATGAGCGATTATTACCGAGACCGAGTAAGACATGGCGGGATCTTGTCGAACCAATTCATAAGTACTTACATCCCCTTTGCGGCCCTCCTTTCATTAGTATCTTGTCCGTGTGCTATTCTCTGACACCGGTCAAACAGAATGGTGGTACGATAGACAAGTCGGATCCAACCAATACCGTCTCGGTGGGAGAACCGAACGAAACTGGGGCACAGACAGTCTGGAAGGTGTCTTGTCCGCCGAAGAACTGTCTCGGTACAGGGCAGAGCAGCCCGTCGATTGTGCCAACAACAGATACCGCGACGACGTATACTTTGCCTCGCGGGATTTCAAGCTCTCGGACGTCAAAGTTCCCGTCCTCAGCGTCGCCAACTGGGGAGGAATCCACCTCCACCTTCGAGGCAACGTGTTGGGTTATCTCGGGGTCGGGTCCGAGTTCAAGTACCTCCGCTTCATCACAGGACGACACGACCTCCCATTCTTCTACGACGAGGAAGTAAAAGTGCAAAAGTCATTTCTCGACGCGTGTCTCAAGGGTGACGATCCAGGAGGGTGGCTGTCAACGACACCAGGGTCACTCCCACCCGTCAG